TCCTCCATTTCTTTTGGTCACTGATGACTGTAAAGCCAAGATCCACGGCCCACCTCTCTCCCCAAGATAGGAAAAGACAGTCCAAAATTAAGCAAGCCCGGGCTTTTATTACTGTTCATAAACAACCCCAGGCCCCCAAGGAAAGTATCAAGTGCATCTTTGCATTCTGGAAAGAGTTAAAAGGCCTCCAAAACGCAGAAATCAAAAGACAGGAAGCTACTTCTCCCAAGATAGCAGGAAAATAAAAAGCAACCGCTCCACCTTCGATAAGCAAAGATTCCTTGGCCGTCCTCCTATTCCTGATGGAGAAAGAAAACATTCAATTAAGCATAGCATTTTGCTCATTACTGTAGAGGGCAAGGAGGACCATCAATTTTAAAACAGCTCCCAATAGGCTTCTCAAGCCAGAAATACTCCCCAACTAACCCAACAAAGATTCAAGGCCTGCGCTTTTCTAGCCAAGATCCACCCTCGGGGAAAGCTCTCAATCCTCCAACCGTTTTTGGATCCTTTACCACGACAAGCTGTCACGCGCCATCAGAGGAAAAAGCCTCCAGAGCCGAGGTGTGGATCAAAGGGTGCGTGGCCGCGGAAGGGGACTCGGTGTTTACAATCTCAGCCGTTCTGCCTTGTCCTCTCCAAACCGCAGCGCTACAGCCAGCAGGCCCCTTCAAAGCGCCCCTCACTTTCTCGAGGTGGGCAAACCAAAGTCCCTCCTTCGAGAGAGGAAGATAAGGAGGGCGGCGGCGGCGGGGCTAGGATACCTCCTGCACCCTCGGACCGAGTCGAGACCACCCCCCACCCCCACCCCCACTACCCGCGAGGACGGCGACCGGCCAGGGGGACGCTGGGGAGAGGACCCCCCTACCCAAACGGCCCCAGAGATCCCCCAAACCCAAGAACCAGGCTCCCCGCCAGTGGGGAAGGGGAAACCACAACGCCTCTCTTATTAGAAGTCCCGAGGCTCTACTCACCTTCCAGCAGCAGCCCCAGCCTTCTTGGACCAACAGCCACCTACCCCGGCGGCGCATGCGCAGCCCTGCACGGAGTCCTGGCCCGTCGCGCCAACGCTCGCTCGGCCCCACCGCAGCCTGACGTCGCGAGCGTAAGCGCTCCTGATGTCAGACACCGTCCGCCTTTCAAACCTCCGCCTGCTGGAGCCGGTCCGCTGTTTGTCTCTAGCCGGTGGGGGTCTCTGAAAATTGAATTCTGCCTATCGCAGGCTACTGAGGTGGGGGTGGGGAGGACTCAGGCCACCAATCTACATTACATGTTCCATTATCTATCTATCCCTATGTGACTATCATTAAATGTTGTATCTTACGATTCTTGACGAATGTATCTTTTATGTATACTGAGAGCCTATGCACCAAGACAAATTCCTTGTGTGTCCAATCACACTTGGCCAATAAAGTATTGTATTGTATTGTATTGTATTGTATTGTATTGTATTGTATTGTATTGTATTGTATTGTATTGTATTGTATTCTATTCTATTCTATTCTATTCTATTCTATTCTATTCTATTCTATTCTATTCTATTCTAATTCTAATTCTATTTATTGAACCACATCCTCATGTGTGCAGCTATTCAGTTAAAGCATCATCCACCTTCCTCTTGTCACCATAAAATATTACCATTATAAGAATGTGTGGCTACTACAGCTTCTACATTGTCAATCTCTTTATTGCCTTTTGCAATTCCCTGCCCAACCATATTGTCCAGATTTGTGAGTGTCTCGTTATAGGGGTTTTCTCTGGATTTGTGTCTTTTTCCTTCAAAGCATCATCAGTCATCTACAATGGGAGAACTGCACTGGGAAAGTGTTGGGTGTGCTAACTGCACAGTTCTGCAGCATCTGGCCTCTAGACCAGTTTGCTTGCCCATCCCGTGCACCATGTGAAATTCTTACAACATAAAAATAACTTGACAGTAAGCACAATGGAAAAGTGACTCCAAATTCTAAAAGTGTATGTATCTTTATTTTAATTAATGGGTTAGTGCCAGATTCATATTTGGACAGACATAATTAGATAACTGCAAGGAGACATCTTATAGATCTGGATGACTGAAACAAATAGCCAGAAAGCCCTTTGACTCTTAGTAATTGAGTGAGTAGGTGAGGGACTGGCTGAAACTGACAAATATTTATTTATTTACTTATTGGTTCAATTTATATGCCGCCCTTTTCCGGAGACTCAGGGTGGCTTACAACGCGTTAAGCAATAGCCTTCATACTTTTGTATATACCTGCTTAGTAAGGTTTTCGCCCCCCCAAGCAGTGTTCTTTTTTTATACAAAGTCAGCTTATTGCCCCCACAAACCGGGTTCTCATTTTACCTACCTCGAAAGGATAGAAGGCCTGGTGAGATTTGAACTTGCAGTAATTGCAGGCAGCTGGTGTTACTTAACAGTGCTTTAGTCTGCTATGCCACCAAGGCTCTTATACACATAATTACAAATAGCCAAGGCTTATTATCCCTCATTTCAGTGTTCTATAATCTATAACATACAGAGTAAATATAGTATAATGATTAAGGAGTTAGACTGTCATGGGGTGAACCAGATTCAAGCGCACCCACAGCCATAGACCACACTCACTGTGTAATTTTCAGTGAGTTTACCTCTCAGCCTGAGCTACCTCACAACGTTGTTTGCAGCAAGGGGAGAGGGTGATATATACCACTTTAAGAACTTAAAAGAAAAAAGTGGGATGTAATTATCAAATAACAAAAAGCAGGGATGTTGCAGCTCACTAAATGCTATTTGGGAACTGAGCAAGTACACAACTACAAAATGTACCCCTTCTTTCAGGAATAAAATAATGAAGCTCCTAAGGTGTGACAGGGAAAAATCAGATCCTTAAGGGGAAAATCACTTGTATATACAAAATATACACATTTTTGTATATACAAGTTGTATATACAAAATAACTATTGAATGTTGTTTAAATTAAGAAGTTGTAATAAAATGAGACTAGCCTTTTCTGACCAAGGAAGAACCAAGAGGTTGACAGGGCATTATGGTGCTATTGTAAAATTGCTAGTGGAGAAAGGACTAGTGTATCAGAATTATGATGGGACCTTGCGGCCTGACATTAGAACAAAGATTTTTATCAACACCCATTCAAAATTACTTTGGGAATAAAGGTAGTCAATGTTTATTGATGTGCTGAAAAGATCCTATATCTCATGCCATTCTTATCAGATCTCACTGCTCATTTTCTGTTAAGAAACTGGGAACTTCAAAATAATTTCAGAGTCATCTTGGCTAAAAGTTTGTTTTTTCCATCATCCACCCATATATAATACATTTCATCAGTATGGCAGTATATTTTGCTTCAGAAAATATTGTGTGGGTTTACTGTAGTTTCTTCCACAAGAAAGTGTCGATTTCAAAAAAATGGGAACCAAAAACAAAAATGCTGACAGTTGAGCGCAAATATTGGTATGTCATACATTTTTCTACATATTTTTGCTTTGGTAATAAAAGGAACATGAAAAATGATTACACAATTTTTTAATATCCTGAACCACAGTTTATTAGCTCTCCTCAAGAAGTTGCTATTCATCCTCTTAAAAATCTCCAGAGAAGAAGATCCCACAACCTTCACTTTTCCATAGCTGTTTAAAAATTCAATTATCCTGGCAGGGAAAAAAATGATAAACCTAAACTATGAAACAAGTTTTGATATAACTACTAAATTAGATGTTTCCTGTTTTTGCTTTCTGAGAACTGGTGTGGTGAAAAATCAGTTGCAGCAGTCTTCCCATTACTAAGAAACATCTGTTCTTGTATATAGTATTGGAGGGAGGGATCAAATGGCATCAGCATCCGATTCTGGGTTGTCAAGTCATCGATCCCTGCTTCATTAAATATATCAGATTGGAGCCGATTACAGACAAGTTTCCCCGTGGAATATAGTCTCTTGAGCTGCATTTGCACAAGAACATTTGCCACTTTTGCTAACAAGAGATCTTGAGATTATAGGATTACTTACTTCTATGGATAAACATTTCACTTTCAGATTCAAATATGTCCCAACCGCATCTCTACCAAATCAACAATGAGGCTGCAAAACAGGCACCCTGTTATTAAGCCGGTTATTAAGACCAGCAATTACTGCAGGTTCGAATCTCGCCAAGGCTCAAGGTTGACTCAGCCTTCCATCCTTTCTAAGGTAGGTAAATTGAGGACCCAGTTGTGGGGGCAATAAGCTGACTTTGTATAAATATACAAAAGAATGAAGGCTATTGCTTAACGCATTGTAAGCCGCCCTGAGTCTCCGGAGAAGGGCGGCATATAAATCAAAATAAACAAAAACAAAAACAAAAACAAAGACGTGTACTGTACAATAGAGATTCTTTCTCTTCCAGGATTAAAAAGTCACGAGAAACCTCTGTTGCTGCTGGTAGGATAAGAGCATCTCTGGTCAAGGAGCCTCCATCCTCAGTTTTGGACTCGCACCATCCCGGACCAAACAACTGATAAATAGAGGAGGAGAAATCCCATTTAAGCATAGGGTTAGAAGGGTTTCCAAGCGTAGTGGCTTTCGCTTAGATAGGTTGCTTTCTTATCTCCTCTAACTGGCTCGGTCTAAGCTACGGCCAATGGTTGGTAAAGGCTCGGTCTCTCCCAGAATTTCTTTAAATTAAATCCTTTAAAACAGGATTGGGAAGCCACTACGTTTGTCCCAGCCGCCAAGGCTTGGCAGGCGCCTTTCTCGAGTTTCTAGGCGACATTCATAAAAGAAACCAAGACCGCCGCTGCTTTCCCCTTCCAAGCCTGAAAAGAAGCGGAAAGAAAATATTCGAAAGAGGCGTGGCTCATACATATTAATCGATTCTTAACGCGGTCGTCATAGCAATACAGTAAAGGTTCTTGACGGCTCTGCTCCCTGATTGGTGGGCGAAGGGCTCAATGACGGAACCACCTGTTTGGGTGGACTCTAAAGAGAAGCCCTGCTGGCTCCTTGAAAATAATTTTCGCGCGAGTGGGCGGGGTTTATACTAATGAGGCCGGGGAAGGAGGCTGGCACTGCCAAGATGGCGGCGGAAAGGAGTCGCTCTCCGGTGGGGGGCTCGCCAGTGCCGGCCTCGATGTTCGCCCCGGAGCCCATGGCTCACGGTGGGACAGTGGCGGTTTTCTCTAGGCCTCACGGCGGCGTCCCAGAAACTGACTGCAGCGAGGACGGCGAGCTGCTCAACGGAGAGCCGGAGCTCGATCTTACCAGCAAGGTAGGCCTGGCCGGGGCTGCTGGGGACGAGAGCCGAGACGGCCGGAGGAGGTGAGGTCGGCTGTGACTACTCCGGGTCGCGCTCCTTTGGCCGCCTCAGTCGTTCATTGGAGCGGTTCCCTTCTCTTGCCACCCGCACCGGGTCGGTCCTTGTTCTGATAGTCCTTTGGGGAACTTCGTACGGGGTCGTTTCACTAACGTGACTGTAAGTGAATTTGCTAGGTAGGAGGTGGTAAAAGGTTGGCAGCTTCTTGCCCTTGTCGCGGATAACGATTGTGAGTCCTGAAAGAAAATACTCGTGAGAGTGTAATCCAGGGTGCTTCGCGGGATCTGAGTCGGAGTACGTGGCATTCACCCTTGGCGCGTGTCTGGATTCAGAAAGTTAATACATGTATGATATACTGCTGAATGAGTTTTCCCGTAAATAAGGAAAAAGTGGGACTTCACTCTTCTGCAAACATCTTTAGAATAGTAAACTTGTTTATTTATTTATTTATTTTCTTATATGTTCACTGTGGGTTGTTTTAAAATTGGGGTATAAGTTATGTGCATAGACATTTGGGTACCATCTATTTTAATATTGCATTTTTCTGATCAAAGAAGAGGTGGTAGCACCTCAGTGTTTGTTAACCTGCTGGGCATGGTTATGTGATGGACTGGAGAGAGATGGAATCTGAGCAGTTTTCACTATTAGTGTAATCTGATGACCAGATACTGACAGATCAGGCTTCTGTTGCTATGCTTTAGTGAACTTTGCAGATCTAGGTAAATAGAAACGGTTATTAAAGTATTGGAATGGTTATATATCCTGTGGAACATGATAAAATTCTGGATATATTATACCATGTCAGACGCAGCATTTATTCCTCATAGTGTAAATACAGTCTTTGAAAATGAAGTCAATTTCAGATATTAAAAACCATTTTAATATTGTTTCCTCACCAAGTAGTATAGCTGCGTATTTTTGTTTTAACACTGTTTTTCTTTATCATTTATTTTCTTCCTTCTGAAAGCAATATCATTCAAATGAATATTTATTTTAAGGGGCATTCATCAAAGGGAATTAGGAACAGTTTCACAGCAACTTGTGATATACGGTAGTGTTTGAATTTTGTTTTAGCTGTATTGTTTGATGTGTTTGTTCATTGAATTGTAATAGATTAAAACACTATTTTAAGAGAAATAACTTGTTTTTGAATAGTTAATAAGAAGTAAATGCCTACTCTCTCCATTTAGCTAGTAATGGTGAGCCCAACATCCGAACAGTATGATAGTTTACTCCGACAGATGTGGGAGAGGATGGATGAAGGATGTGGAGAGACCATCTATGTTATTGGTCAAGGATCAGGTAAGTACTCTATAGTTTTTTCAATGCCAAATGCTGAGCTTTTAAGAAATAGTAGTTTTGCAGAAGTAGCTCAATTGATTGTGCGTGAGAAAAATAAAGGCTAATATATAATACCTACTTTATTATTTTCCTCATTTCACATCTAGCTAGTGCTAAATCACATCATAATAACAAGCACTGTTTTCAGTTGTCAGTGCCAATTAATTATTAATCATATCATCAATGTTCATATTTTCTCCCTGAACAAAACTGGAATACTATCCTTTATGAACAGTGTATGTATAGAAGTAATGTGCTGCGTTTCAATAAAGGATGTTCAGAATAGCCATATAAAATGGGCCTGGTAGCTCAGCAGACTAAAAGCATTGTGATTAACACCAGCTGTCTGCAATTACTGTAACTTCGAATCTCACCAGGCTCAAGGTTGACTCAGCCTTCTATCCTTTCTAAGGTAGGTTAAATGAGGACCCAGTTTGTGGGGGCAATAAGCTGACTTTGATATACAAAAGTATGAAGGCTATTGCTTAACGCATTGTAAGCCGCCCTGAGTCTCTGGAGAAGGGCGGCATATAAATCAAATGAAAAATGAAAAAAAAAAATGGAAAAAAAATGAAAACAATACAAGGACTCCTCAATTTATAACCACAGTTGAGCCCAAAATTTCTGTTGCTCAGTGAAACATTTGTTAATAATAACTTTATTGTCATTGTACTTGTATACACAGTATACCCATACAACGAAATTCACTTAACACCCAAAGACCAGGTCCAACACACATAACAATCCCCAAACACAGTACCACCCACACAACAGACCAAGTAATGCTGTCCAATTTGTTAAGTGAGTTTTACCCCATTTTATGACCTTTCTTGTCACAGTTGTTAAATTAATCACTGTAGTTGTTAAGTTAATAACATGGTTGCTAAATTAATCTGGCTTCACCATTGACTTTGCTTGTCAGGAGGCCAAAAAAGATAGTCCCATGACTCCAGGACACTGCAACCATTATAAATATGAGTCAGTTGCTAAGCATCTGAATTTTGATCATGTGACCATGGGGATGCTACAACAGTTGTTAGTGTGTGAAAAATGATCATAAGTCACTTTTTTCAGTGACGTAACTTCACTAAGTGAATGGTTGTAAGTCAAGGACTACCTGTAATACAGAAGGTATTTCTTGCCCAATTAGAGAGAGTCATCTGTAATTTTAGGATTGCATGTAGCCTCTAAACTCCTTTTCCCTCTGATACATCAGATAAACAAGGGCTGCATAGAAATTCAGCTAGGTGTATTTGGATGGGTTAGTATTTTGCTGGTAGAAAAGATAGATAAAAAGGAAAGGGTGGCAGGTTATATCAGTGAAATGTGTACTTACTCCCTCCCAGGTCACATACCTCCATGTCCTACAGATAGTTTTTATATACTTTTATTCATTTATTTATTAAATTTATATGCCCTCACTGTTAAGCGACTCTAGATAGTTTTTATATACTTTTATTCATTTATTTATTAAATTTATATGCCCTCACCGTTAAGCGACTCTATAATTATTTGTAATAAAAAAAATATTCTTCTACTATCATCTTGCCTGTTTTAATCAATGTCCTTTTAAGTATACAATCTTTTTTTTAAATAATAGAACCCCCTTGGCTAGTCTGTTAAGAGACCAGGAGGGACAAAGTATCTTTAAATCTGTTACGATAAAGTTCATGTAACTGTTCCTCCTTCCTTCCTAATGCTTCATCAGATGGGACTGACTATGGGCTTAGTGATGGAGACATGGAAGCTTCCTATGCCACAGTGAAGAGCATGGCAGAACAAATAGACGCTGATGTAATTCTCTTGCGAGAGCACCAAGAAGCAGGAGGCAAAGTGCGTGATTATTTGGTGCGGAAACGTGTGGGTGACAACGATTTCCTAGAGGTTAGGTAAGAAGAGATGTGGAGGCTTGCTTAGTCAACATATCTGCTGCTGCAGCTTGTACTAGTAGTGGCAGAAAGCTGGTAACTCTGGTTTGACTATGGAAGTAATTTGGTCTAATTACTTTTTTTCTCCTTCATGCTATGCATAGAAACTTATGGTTGGGACTAAGAGTATATATTCTTATAAAGAAGTGTCTGAATGGCAGTTTCCTAGTTATTATTATTGCAAGTTGTATTTGTCATATTCAAGAAAAGGCAAAAATTTACTTTCTTTATAACTAACTACTTTCAACTAACTTTTTAAGGGTTGGCTTAAACTGTCTTATACATTTATGCACAGTTATTTTTTTACTGTGGACAGACACAGCATATTAAACTAAAATAGTTTTACTTGGTTTGGGTATAGTGTTCTGGTGAGCTCAGCCACTCAACAAACCAGTATTATGTATGAAACAGGTCATGGAAACATGCTCATGACTAAACCCATTTGAAAGCATTCCATGAATCTGGATTTTCAGATTAAAAGTTGATACTGGTGTCTTAAGTTGTTCACCTTTTTCTTATCTTTACTCAGTTGGCACATAGCAGCTCTTGAAATTTGATCCTGACGCTTAAGAACTGGAAATATTTTTCCAGTTTTGTTTAATAGTAATTGGTGAGTATCAAGATAAAAAACGTATGCCATACTTATTAGCTTAATGGAAATATAGTAGGAACTTGGAATGTACTTTAAGAATTTCCTCTAACTCAATTCTAACTTGCAATTCATTGGCAAATGCTGTTTATACAGTCTTCTTCACCCTTCGTCTCCAAAATGTATGTGGCTAGTGGAGTATCTTTAAAACACATAATGTTGATGTACACATTAAAAGGTAAAGTTACAAATTCAGATTGATTCCTAGAGACTTCATGAATGTGTGCAAGTTGTTTTCTTGGACACAGTATAGAAGTGGTTCACTACTGCTTGCTTTTTGGGCTGTGCTATTGTCTTCCCACCACAGTTTTGGACTCCTGTGATGATCTCCCAATGAAATAATAAATAAGTCTGACCCATTTAGTTTTTAAGGTAAGCAAAGGTTGACTATGCTAGTTCTGTGCAAATCATTCAATGAGAGCTTCCTTGATGAGTATAACACTCCATTGGATCCATTTTTAATTTTTAAAAAAAACTTAGTTAATTGAAGGGCCACGATAGCATGTTTGAGATGCTCTTAAGATCTACAGGGCATCTCTAAGGGATATTTTCACTCAGGTCACCATTGTGACACTGTCAGTGTAGAAAATGTGTAGATGGGTACAGAACTAACATGCCATGTGCCAGTTGTATACAGCAGGGGCTCTGTGAATACGTACTTATATATTCACATTGTGTAATGGGCAGTCAAGAAAGAAAACAATCCAACTTGGTTAAGGATTTGGCCATGATGTTAGTGATTCAGTCTCTGTGAAAGGAAAATGTCGAAATAATAACAATCCCTTGTAGTGTTTCCTACATTGTGACAGCAGTCATCTTTATCCTATAGCCTTTAGAAGGTGCTGTATTACAAGTCGACCTCAACTTTCATTTAGTGACCATTTGAAGTTACAATGACGCTGAAAAAAGTGACTTATGACCATTTTTCTCACAATTGTAGCATCTGCATGGTCATGTGATCAAAATTTGGCCGCTTGACAACTGGCTCATTGCAGTGTCCCAGGCCCATGTGATCACCCTTTGCAACCTTCTGAGAAGTAAAGTCAATGGGAAAATCAGATTCAATTGTCATAATTTGAGAACTACCTGTATAACTTCCAGTCAGCCTAATTAATAATGGGAATTATAGTCCAACATTGCTAGCAGGAGGACTCAGATTGGGAAGGGTCATGCAGGAATATCTAATTTCCAAAAGGGAATATGCTTTTTCTGAATTCTCAATTTCCTGCTTTGAACTTGGTTCCAGGTCTGATGGACATATTCAAGTTGTTGGAGTTTGTTGGCTAACTTTTTTCAAATTTATAAATTTTTGAATCAAGCTTTGATTCAAATTTCTTCTTCCCCCATCTCTCCCTATATCCACTTTCAGCAGTAGTAGAGTTAGGCATTAAGATAGAAATTGGGTCAGGGATTCACAAAAATCACTTGGTGACATGTTTAATTGTATCACTTCAGCTCATTTCAATCTATCTCATAGTTGTTGATATGGGGTAAAATTAGAGGAATATTCTGGTGAGAAAAAGCAAGATGTAAATGTAATAAATAACTGCTATGGAATGATAAATTTCAGTATCTCATTGTACAATATGTTATGCTGCAGACATATTACACCATAAGACATGGTAGCTTTTAGCAGTTGTGCTAGCCCTGAAGAGTTGTAAGAGAGAATTTGTAATCCTAGGATATTCTCATTGTGTTGGATTTAGGTTTGAATGAAGACACTGGTGTTTGGGAAATAGTTTTGGTACTAATTATGTCATTGTGCACATCCTTGTGAGATTTCAATGTTCTAACAATGGCACTGGTGACTTTTTCCTCCTTTTCTCTTAGTCTTAGTTGTTTATGTTTTATATGATGTAGAAATTGGTGATTGGAACCTTATGAAGTAGCTCTTAAAATATATGTTGCAACATTTTGAATATGCTGCTGATTTTCATCCTATAGTAACAGGAGGAAATTGATTCCAATTGTTGCATTGAAATCAAGCAGTTTATCACTTTCTTTTGCCTTCCTATAGGGTAGCAGTGGTTGGCAATGTGGATGCTGGGAAGAGCACTTTGCTGGGGGTTCTTACCCATGGTGAGCTGGACAATGGACGTGGTTTTGCTCGGCAAAAACTTTTTCGCCACAAGCATGAGATTGAGTCAGGCCGTACCAGCAGTGTGGGCAATGACATCTTGGGTTTCGACAGCGAAGGCAACGTTGTGAACAAGCCTGACAGCCATGGTGGGAGTTTGGAGTGGACCAAGATTTGTGAGAAATCAACAAAAGTCATAACTTTCATTGACCTGGCTGGGCATGAGAAGTACTTGAAGACTACAGTCTTTGGCATGACTGGGCATCTCCCTGATTTTTGCATGCTAATGGTAAGCAGTGCTAATTGTAGGGGAAGGGGTTTGTGGTAAAGCAGCCCTTTTCTAATGTTCTTGACTCACTAACGGTTGAACATAATTTATATGATAAATAACAGCAATAACAGTAATAATAACAGTAACAACAATAATAATATGATAGAATTTACATACTAAAACTGTTTTTACCAAACTGAATGCTGGGAACTTCACTTGTCTGTCTTCTGCTCATGAAACTGTGTTTTGTGGCTTGTCTTGATTTTAAATGATATTTCTCAGCCTAACTTTTTTTTTTGAATTGTACAGAATGTATTTTATTTATTTGTTTAATTTATATGTCACTCATCTCGCTATCAAGAATGACTCTGGGCGGCTTATAATATGTATGAAAGTTGCTGCTCAAATACAAAATGTAAACTTAGTAGAAGTATCTCTTTGCCATATGGGATAATCCCAAAGACATCAGTGATAACGCATGCAAAGCATGTAAACATTGGGTCCTGTTGGGTTATTGAACATTCTTCCTTATACTGGAAAAGCAAAAAAGAAACTTTGTGATGGTAACTTAATAAGAATTGATTTAAGTTATTTTTTGTATCAGTGACTTTTCTTCCATAATAGTAGCAAGCAAGCGGTTTCCCTTTGTCATTGTGTGCTGATTGTGAAGTGCACATCCCATCTTAAAATAAAGGGAAGCTTGGGAACCCAGATACTACCGAAAAGTTTTTAAATGAGGAAAAATGCTTTTTAGACATTTTGAATAGGCTGGAATATTTACTTCATTAAGACACCTTTCTCTCTGGTACATGTCCTAAGGTCGTGATGGTGAACCTATGGCACACATGCCAGAGGTGGCACACAGTGCCCTGTCTGTGGGCATGTGAGCCGTCGCCCCAGTTCAGCTCCGCTGCGCATGTGCACGCACCTCCCGCCGGCCAGCTGGTCTTCAGGTCTCTGCTGTGCATACATATGGGGCATGGGGGGGCTTGTGCACATGTGCGGGGGCATGTGGGGGCCCACATGTGCGGGGTGCATGCATGGGCCACATGCACATTGCATTTTCGGGGCTCAGGCGCACACACACACATTTGCACATACACACCCGCTTTGGGCACTTGGTCCAGAAAAGGTTAGCCATCACTGTCCTAAGGTGACTCTCTAGATTTGCTCTTCAAATTATCCTCACAAATGGTGTTACTAACCCTGAAAAATTACTTCTCATATGACAACTTGATCAACTTTTACTTTGTTACAAATCTTAATTTTGTCTCGCATTGATTGAAGTGCATGTCTATGCCCATCTTTTTTGGCATACCCATAAATCATTGCTTAGTGCAATCATAGTCACAGTTGTTTTTCCTTAATCTTTATCTTAATACAGGTTGGCAGCAATGCTGGAATTGTTGGGATGACCAAGGAGCACCTCGGTCTGGCATTGGCGCTTAATGTTCCAGTCTTTGTGGTGGTAACCAAAATTGATATGTGTCCGGCTAACATACTTCAAGGTAAATGGTTATTGCTACAACAGTTTTTCTTTGCTGTGTTCGTCTCAGTTGTGCTAAGGAGAGACTTGAATTTGCTGCCTTCTGTTTTCTAGCCTGGTTTCTTAATCACATCAGATTGACTCTCACTACATATATAGTACAAAATATTCCTAATTTCCCACATCAGCCTTGAGAAAAGTTCAGTCACCCAAAGAGCTTTTATGACTGAGGGCAAAGCTGAACTGCTCAGAGTCGTATACAAATGTAAATAATAATGGTAATAGACTCCTTGGATGCAATCCCAAAAGAACTGGAGCACCACTTGAGCATCATTGGCATTGAGAAAATCACCAGTCAATTGCAAAAGGCACCCTAACTTGGAATAGCTTACATTCTGTGACAATAACTTTAGCACCGTCAGACAATAACATCTTCCTATCTCAGGTCCTTGGAAAGGACTCGATAGGTGGATAAAAAAGCAAAATCCAGGGTCACTGTGCAAGAAACCATAACACCATTAAAAGTACACCGAGTCTCTCTATTCTGTTTTAACACTTTAATCACTACACCATCCTGGCTTTCTTTTCTGTTTTTGTTTTTCTGATCTTTTTCTGTCTCTTGTTGTGGTTGACGCTTTCAGAGAAGGTAGTGGCATCATATTAAAATTTAATTTCCAGTCACTGCCGATTATTAATTTGACACTAGCCCTTTGAGGTAATTCAGATAAAAAAACAGATAAAACATGGATTCTAGGACTGCGCTTTATTTCTGTAAGGTTGAATTACAGAATCTTGGTGTTCTGTGCATATTTCTCTTTCTCAGTTTATCCTAAACCAGTGTTTCTCAACCTTGGAAGCTTGAAGATGGGTGGACTTCAACTCCCAGAATCCCCCAGCCAGCAGCGCTGGCTGGGGGATTTTGGAAGTTGAAGTCCACCCATCTTCAAGCTACCAAGGTTGAGAAACACTGTCCTAAACAAAATTAAGGTGGGGTTATTTTGAGTTTCTTTGCCATACAGGTAGTCCTTAAATTACAACAGTTTGTTTAGTGATGGTTCAAAGTTAACAACGGCACTGAAAAATGTGACTTATGATGGTTTTTTACACTTGTGACCGTTGCAACATCCCTGTAGTTATGTGATCAAAGTTCAGATTTTTGGCAATTGACTCATATTTATGACAGTTCCAGTGTCTCAGGGTCATATGATCATCTACTGATAGAGTCAGTGGGGACTCCAGATTCACTTAACAACTGTGTTACTAACTTAACAAGTGCAGTGATTCACTTTAACATTTGTGGCAAGAAAGGTGGTAAAATGGGGAAAATTCATGTGACAATTGTCTCGCTTAGCAACAAAAATTTGGGGCTCAATTGTGGTTGTGAGTCAAAGACTACCTGTATTTCCCCCTGTTTTAGGACTGTGTATCTTTTCTTCAGGTCTCTTTAACAGCTTGTTCATTGCTTCCCTATTTCCAAGGTCAGCTCTGTAACCCTTTATATTTGTATTGTTTTTAAGCTCCTCTTCTTTTTATTGAGATCAGTTAAAATAATTAACCCAGCCATCCAGAGTCTCTCTTGATAGCAATAATATGTTTATCGTTGCCACATAATGAAATTTCCAATTCATTTTTAACAAAGTCAAATCCATAGCACTTTTTATCCAGTTTAAATCTTTCTGTCTCATAGTCAGAAAGATATTTCTTTTATATTTTATACAGTTTATATTTTGTCTTCATCCATTTGATAATGTAAGATGAAGAGTTATGGGCATTCCTTTCCATGGCTATCTTTAATTTTTTTCCTGATTGTTGTGATAGTTTATTAGTTCTTTTCTTTCTAGATACTTGAAACTTAAATTACGGAGGATAGATCTTAATGGGGAAAACATTTTGCTTAATAACTAGTTTATAAACAGCTTTACTTCTGGAGCTGTTTGTAGACACAACTTGTGAGTATAGCATTTTGCAAACCCAGAAAAAAGTAAGAATCTGGCAGATGATTATATTGGCTTATAATTTATCTATGAGTTATAAGCAGTGGAGGGTTGCTACCGGTTTGCCCCAGATCAGGTAACTGGTAGCAGCAGCGGGGGGAGGCTCCACCCACCCACCCACCCAGACACTTCTGTGCATGTGCAGAAGCTTCTACACATGCGTAGAAGTGTTGCACACGAACGCCCACAAGCAAACCAGTAGCAACGGGTTTTGAAACCTGCCCCTGCTTATAAGTATATAAGTATTTAACCATAACTATCGCACCTATAGCAGGCATTTTCAGTTAGCAAGTTGACTTGGGTTTACAGATAATTCTGAAGTAATGCAGCCTCTTTTCATTTGTTACTATTCAGATATGTTGGGCTACTACTCCCGTTATCTGCAGGATACTTTAGGGAGGCTGATCTGATGTAAGAAAACATAAAGGAGCATCAGGACATATCATTGAAGATGTTTATAGTTCAGCCTTTAAAATGTTTTCCATAAACTCAGAAAAACTCATATGAAGTAAATAATCCTTCCTCATTATTGTCCTCCAACAACTGGTTATGAATAACATATTTCTTTGGAATTAAAGGGTTCTGTATATATATTGTGGCAAATAGTCGTGAGTCTTGTGAACAAATGAAAGCATTATTTCTTCATTCTGTCTAAAAAGATTATGATTACCAATGGCCATCATAAATTAGGACCCTCAACAAGAATGGTTCTAATATACTTTGTGGTAGGAGTAGCCAATGTTGTAGTTAGTGGCAAGACCAATTACTGTGTTTTGGAATGGGACATGGCTATATCTTATGCTTCAGGAGACCATTAGAATCAATGTGAATTAAAATATGCAAGTGTGTTTTTTACTTCTGCACTGTACAATTCTGTTTCAGGGGATTTTAGATAAAATAACTGTGTTTTGTCTTTAAAAGCAAAGCAAAAGAAAATTCTAAAGGCATATTAGTTGTTTCAAACAGTGATTTTCTGTTGATCTTTTTTGAAAATGTGTAGCTTTGTGTAGGCAAATACTGTTTTCTAATACTGCAGGTGTTGGTTTTTCCAGGCCTTTTATGTAAGGTATGACCAAGGCTCCTCTGGAACGCATAGCCAGCTCTGTAACAGAAAATAGGGGCTTTGTTTATTTAGTACATAAAACAGCCTACTGGATGCTTAGCGTAATGACTACAGTTGGGATTTATTCAGCAAACCATTGTAAAATGAACAATGGCTGTGAGCCCCGAGTGGATTGGCAAGCTGGTCTATCACCAGTGGTCTTAAAAATGGACTCTTTACAAAATCTATACATTATAGACTGTTCTTGACATCTGTCTTTTACAAGAGCATCTTCATTTATTCCTTACTGTGATAAGTATTCATGGGGAAATTATTTTTGCTGCCAATGAAAAGCTATTGTCTTCGTATAAAAGAACACTGAATGCCAAAAGCACTTTGGTGTGGAATTTACTGTAGCGGGGCATTTCTAAGAGAACAGACTGACCAGAATAGGATCTGTTCTGACACCTTTACAATTACGTTGGCAAATGAATGAGGCTGCCTGCTCCTGGGCAAAAATTGCATCCATTAGTCTCTCTCTATATTGTTATGGTGATAAAATGGATATTCTGGGCTTCCTGGTCTCTTTGTTTATTTTACCATTTTAATATTGAGAATTAAAAGCAGACTTCAAGGAAGCAGTGGTGGACTGAAGACAGCTTTGTTTTTTTGTGAAATGAAAAGCCTTGAAATTCTGGATAAAGAGAAGGACCTGGGATCACCCACAAGTGCTTCATAAAGATGCTGCCAAATGCTTCATGGAGATGCTGCCTGTAAGGAGACTATAAATAGTGGTCTCCAGTGGGTGTTAAGAGTTCTGGCAGCATAGTAAAAAGTAGCTTTGCCCAGTTTGGAACTTTCAAATGGACACTGGTTTCACCCACTTCCTCTCAAATCACTTTAAGAAATGGCTTGTTAACTACCTTTTGGATATTAAGAACCTTCAGAATATCTTTCATCACACCAGATGATTCTCCTTCAACCCATGGTGAAAGAAATTTCATGTAAATTTAAGAACTTAATTTTTTAAAATTCTGAAATAAGTAGCAAAAGGGTAATTATGTTGATTTTGGAAAGTTTTAAACAAATCGAGAGGCTGCATGGATTGGAAATATAAGGGCTTGGTGGCTCAGCAGACTAAAAGCATTGTGATTAACACCAGCTGTCTGCAATTACTGTAAGTTCGAATCTCACCAGGCTCAAGGTTGACTCAGCTTTCCATCCTTTCTAAGGTAGGTAAAATGAGGACCCAGTTTGTGGGGGCAATAAGTTGACTTTGTATAAATATACAAAAGTATGAAGGCTATTGCTTAACGCATTGTAAGCCGCCCTGAGTCTCCGGAGAAGGGCGGCATATAAATCAAATATAAATATATATATATATGATTTTGAAGCTAATTGGATTGTTTAAAATGGTATCCCAATATATATAAGGATTTTGAATCTGAGTGTAAAAAATCTTGTGGGAAAATGTTGAGGATAAAGGCAAACAGAAAGAGTAAAAGATAATTTAAAGGAGAAGAGGCCCACTAATACAGAACAGGAAAAAGTATTTTAACTTTGGAAGAATTAAAGAATATTTGGTAACAGTGCACTCAGTAATTTCTCTTGCTACCATAAAAATGGGTTTAAAAGAATAGATGGATAGAAGAAGATGAGAATCAGGCTGTTTTGGATATGGATTGAAAAATAACAAGATAAAGAATGATATGGAAAAAGATGTTATACAGGACTTACAATGAAACCCTTGATGTCTTAATAAATAAATAAAGGGGACACATAAATGATAAGAAGAGTAATTTGAACAACTTTCTTAGTTTGGACTTACCAAGAGATGTATTACACTCATGAAAGAATTCCTGAGGAAAAAATACCAGAGAAAAAATGAAAAGAAATCAGTTACTATTTAAAGGGAATAAACTTCAAGATTTTTAAAATTAAAAAGAAAAAATATAAAAATTGGCTTATTAGACTAAGATTTAAAAAATACATATTCTTTTTACTAGCTTAGTTTTTTTAAAAAAAACTAGAGAAATTGATAAGTTATGGTGTTAAAAGAAGTTGGCTTTCATGATTAAGGTTAAAATATAGACATCGTTACTTATGTGTTAAACTTGCAAGGCAGTTTCTAAGAGGAGACAAAGAGAAAATGATAAGAAATGAACTTTAATCAAAGGGATTAAAGATGATGATTTTAAATTTGTTGCTGTTTCTAGTAGCTCTTAAAGAATTTTTGTTGACAGTTCAAAAGAGGAAGCAAAAGTTTGTTTATATATGAGATGAGATATGGGAAGATTATTTTTTGTATTAGAGAAAACAAATCAATGTTTTAAAAGTAAAGGAATAAAAAGTGATTTATTTGATTACAGTTGAAATATATATGTTATTATTTTAAGTAACTCTTAGTGGACTTTTGTTGATTAAGATTGAATAACCAGTCCTCATAATTTGTTCATAGATGAGAATGAGATAAGAGAAAATGAGATCTTTTGAAATGTTAAAGAAGGTGATCAGCTACTAAAAATGTTTGTACTTAGTCAAGGGGGCAGTCATTTCATGTTTTTTTTCTTTTTTCTTAATATATTTTTTCTTTCCCACCCTTTTTTGGACCTTTCATTTTTTAACTTTTTATATTTTCTTTTAGTTTATATTTGTATTTTTTAAATTTAATAAAAAATATTATTAAAAATAGATATTGAGAGCAAAACAAGATCCCAGACCACATGACAAGATTAAATCTTGTAACATTTTCTTAAACTATTAATTGTGTTTTGTGAAATTAACTTGTGGTCAAAATAATAATGCAGATTAAATTCTATCTATAAGAATTGCTTTATTTTAGGACTGATTTTTTTTTTAAAAGGTACATGTAATAGAGAATAAACATTGTAATCAAGCAGAAACAAGGAGCTGTTTTAGGGCCTCCAAAGTTCTTGTTACAGTCTTTAAAATTTAATTTGATTAACCCTGTGGTGTTAAAGTCTCCCACTGAATGTCTGTATCTCGCTTTCTAAATTCTAGCTCTACTTAAGACTTTTTTTCTCCTTTTAAATAAATTTTGAAATCCTGGTGCTCCAGGCATATAAATATTTCAAATAAATTGAAAGTGTACTTATCTGCTATATAATTCTGAAACAGTTTTGATATAGTACCTGATTAGCTCTAAATCTAAGCCATTGTGCTACTTGCAATGTTGACAGCTGGAGAACAAGAAGAATACAAATGTGCTAGCTGGCAAAATTGTAAGGGAACCATCATTCCGGAGCCTGCTTTGACAGATGAAGATGATCCTGTCCCACCTCTCTCTCTCTCTCTCTCTCTCTCTTTCTTGCTCTCAGCTAAACCTATCAAAATTAAGTGCCACAAACAAGCCTAATTATTTTCATTTTGTTCATCAAGAAACTCTGAAGCTCCTGCAACGACTTTTGAAGTCACCAGGATGCAGGAAGATCCCTGTGCTGGTCCAGAGTAAAGATGATGTTATTGTTACGGCCTCCAATTTCAGCTCTGAAAGGTAATTCATGAAAACAAGCTGAATCCCAATTTGATGACTTACAACAGAGATAAAAAACTTCTGGGAAAGCCCTGTGAAATTCATATATTTTTTTTAAAGCAAATATAAGTCGACCCTCACAATCTTATCCTTTTTCTATAATGGAAGCGGATGGTTCTCTTAAACATGTAGCTCCCTATTTTGCCAGCCCTAGGATTAAAAACAGGGTGAGGTTAGTTGAGTCAGAAATGTGACGCTATATGACTTGGGTATACTACCAGTGTCAGGAGCAACAGGAATACCATAGTTGGAGTCTCTTGAAGGGTAGGGATTTTCAAATTGGGTCCTCATTCAAGAAACTTGAAATGCTATTTGAATTGAATCAGACTCATTGTGCTCTTTACAGTGTTGTCGGCTGGGGAACAATACTGATAGTCCCGCTGGCAAAATTGTAAAGGAACCATCACTTAGGATACTATTTTGACAAATGGAAGGTGATCCCTCTCCATCTCTCTTCTCTTTCCTACTCTCAACTAACCCTGTCAAAACTGCAGTTCTTTTCTTCTCCAAGCACATGTCCATGCACAGAGGGGAGTGTGCTGTTCTAGAGCTCCAGCGATGCTAAATCCCCTGGAATGACCAATATCTGGTGTGTGCTAATTTGCTGGCCTCCACCACCTCATTCTCAACCTTTCCCTTTAACAAAACTTGAAGGCTTTCTGGGGGGAGATCAAACAGAATGGTGGAGAATGGAAGGTGCCCATAATCCTTCATCCTTGGCTGAACTGGCTGGAGCTACTGGAATTTGCAGTTCATTAACCCCTGAAAGGCCACAGAATATAAATTAATATGTAACAAAAGGATTATTTTTTATCTAACCCTAATCCAATGAAATCATTAGTTTTATTCATAGAGCAATTTTAATTCATTTTAGGGTGGGGGGGGGCAACTATGGCCCCTTTACAACTTGTGGACTTCAGCTCCCAGAATTTTGGGAGTTGAAGTCCACAGATCATAAAGGGGCTGTAGTTGCCTATCTCTGTCTTGGGGGACCACAGAATTGCAAAGTTTGAGAAGTCCTGTTGCAGGGCACTTTTCTCTCACTTTTTGTTATTTGTTATTTTGTTATTTGTTATATTATCTAGAGATGTACCAAATGTGAAGAATAAGATAGTAAAGAGCCCTGAGTGATATGTTTTGTAATCATCTTTTTTTCCCATTAGGATGTGCCCAATCTTCCAGATTTCCAATGTCACTGGTGAGAATTTGGAGTTGCTGAAGATGTTTCTCAATCTCCTATCTCCAAGGACAAGTTACCGGGAGGAAGAACCTGCAGAATTCCAGATAGATGATACTTATTCTGTGCCAGTAAGCAGAAGTATTCTAGAAAAATGTTTCTCTCAACTTTTTCAGAAATGAGAAAAGTAAAGAAATTCTGCTATTTGTGTCCTAACATAATTCACTTGTTTCCTTTTTTTACTTTCTTCCTGAAATAGGGTGTTGGAACAGTGGTGTCTGGGACAACCCTGAGAGGCCTAATCAAGTTAAATGACACTTTGCTTCTAGGCCCAGATCCACTAGGCAACTTCTTGCCTATTGCTGTGAAATCCATCCATCGGAAGCGCATGCCAGTCAAAGAGGTGCGGGGTGGTCAGACTGCTTCCTTTGCTCTGAAAAAGGTGAGTGCCAACTTGCTATGGCTGTATTTCTTGGCAGGCATTTATTTCATTTATTTTCAGTGTCTGACATTGCAGTGGTAAACATGTATCTAGAAGCATACACTTTCTGGGTTAAGAAGGTTTATTCCTTGGTCTGAATATTCAGGAAGGCTAAGGTATAGCGAGTTTGTCTGCAGTTACACACCAAAATTACCTCCACTGGGAATAAGTTAATGTGAAATATGATAGAGATTTATATGTGTGAGGAGCGAGCAGTCCCTTTTATTTTCTTCCATAATCTCCTTTCTACTTGTTAATCCTATCTAATTTTTTAGGAAATAAATTGAGTTCAATTGGATTTAGTCCCAGATAAGTAAATGTAGCGATCTAATTTGGTATAGTAGTTTAAGGCACAAGGCTAGAAACTGGGAATCCAGGAGTTCTAGTCCTTCCTTAGGCATAAAGCCAGCCGGGTAGCCTTGGGCCTGCCAATCTTTCTCAGTCCTAGGAAGAAAGTAATGGGAAATCACTTCTGAAAATCTTGTTACTTATTAGTAAACACTTTTGACCATAACACAACCTTAAGTTATTCTTTTGGAATGGTTTCCTGCTTGGTTAGTTGGATAGATGGATATCCTATTGCTTTCCCGAGGAGGTTGTATTTAAAGACCTGGTGTAGTCTGTACATACCACAGAAATATGTTTATTTCCAATGAACCTACTTTTGATTTTGATAACTCCCTTTCAATTATTCCACTACTAGATCAAACGCTCTTCTATCAGGAAAGGTATGGTGATGGTATCACCTCGGTTGAATCCGCAAGCCTCTTGGGAATTTGAAGCAGAGATTTTGGTACTCCACCATCCTACCACTATCAGTCCACGTTATCAGGCAATGGGTACGTGGAGTTGCTTTCTATGTCTTTTATATACATCTGTTGCAGTTTAGCTTGAAATATTAAATATAGTAGCAGTGAAATATTAAATGGTAATAGTTATTCTCCATAAAAATAGGGGTGTACAACATAGGTCCAAGACTATCTTCTGCTCCTGAAGCTCTTGTTGCAGTCCCATCTCCCCTGTAAATTGTAAAATTACTAAATAGATTACGAGTATTGCTATTAACCTAATCCTCCCCTCCTCAAACAGGATGTTAAGAGGCCAGGTGCAGCTCTTAATATTTTGCATCTCTAACTTAAAAGGGACAGCACCAACAATGAGCAAAAGAGTACTATTCATTGCCAAACTTTTGGAATCTGGCAGAAGAACATCAAGATTGTTGGGTGATCCATGACTACAGTGCTTGACTTGCACCTCTGTAGAAATTCCATTTTAGTGCTAGGTTTGATGGATAACCTGGGAGGGGGGGGGGACTGCATGTGATTTTTTAAAACCTGTGTCTTACAAGAGAGAGGTTTTTGAGGAAAGCATGACATATGGGAAGCCTTCAGATTTCTCATTGGAGGAATCCCTCACTGCTTAAGAATGCCACTGAGCAATGAAGATCTGGGCTCACTAGGGAAAGTAACAAGAGTAAAGTTTTGATGATGTTCCTATTAGTCAGAGAGCCATATACATAACAAAGGAAACTGAACTTTTTTGTGTGGTGAATTAATAACATCCATGTATATTGCCAATATTTGTTTCCCTGTTTCTAGTACATTGTGGTAGCATTCGCCAGACAGCCACTATCCTTAGCATGGACAAAGACTGCCTCCGCACTGGGGACAAAGCCACTGTCCACTTCCGCTTCATCAAAACTCCTGAGTACTTGCACATAGACCAGCGGCTAGTTTTTCGTGAGGGGCGTACCAAAGCTGTCGGCACTATCACCAAGGTAATAGTGGATGGGGAGGAGTTTCAGAGATCGGCACCTGCAGTTGCATAATTTCTCTTCTTCATTGATTTAATAGTGTATTGCTTTGTTGCCAGTTACTGCTGGTTGCTACTTACTGGTGGGGTACATAATTGATAAACAATTGTTATTTTCCAGTATCTATATGGGATTAACTTTACAGCAAATTCTATGCTTAAGATGGTTCTGTTCCCATTTTTTCAGAGTTTTCAGCCCAGGTAAGGTAGAACAAGTTTGAGCATTGTTGTTCAGTGAGGAACTTGGCAAAATGTTGCTTGTCTATCTGAATTTGCATTTAGCTATGCTGGAAGGATCCACTGGGTAGCTAGTGAGAAAAGGATGGGAGTCTATTTCTTCTGTTTCGGTCCTTTTTTTAGAGTTGCCGCAACAAGTCAAGTATCTTCTAGAATTTTCACCCCATCCAAAATGGAGTCTTCTTAGGTGCCCTGCGTCCGTGTTCTTTCTGTTGAAATTAAACATTGCTGCAATACCCATATTTTCTAAAGGCTTGCAAGCCCAGTTACAGTTCTGAGTCCTTTAAGCTTTGCTTCTGTTTGTAATGAAGGTATTATTCCAATGGATTCCTCGTATTTACAAATGCAGGGCACCAACCATCCTTTTTTAAGCATGGCAAATTCAGAAGTTCTTGGTTGCCAAATCAGAATATAATTTTATATATCATTCAAATAGATAAATTGAAGCATATGTACAATGAAATGGCTTAAATATTGTTCTGATGTTAAAATCCCTTTTATATAATGTTTGATCTTCCCTATCAGCTCCTGGAATAAAAAAATGAGACTAACTTTAGTCTCTTCCTGCTTCGGGAGTTGTAGGAGATGAGAGAGCTTAGCTTCTTTTTCTAAGTATCTGAAGGTCTAACTAAATTCACATCAACTTTGCTGGGTTAATTCTATGCTTTCAAGTAAAACCCAACACTCAGCAAAGATCCTGATTCTGGTTATCTGTTTTTCACTGGCAGTTACTCCAGACCACCAATAATTCTCCCATGAACTCGAAGCCCAGCAAATCAAGATGCAGTCTACAAAAAAAGGACCCTTGACCAAGCGCGAAGAGAGCGGAGCCCAGGCTGGCATAGCAGTGCTGACTTCCCCTGTGGCAGAGGATGGAGCCTCACTGGCAACAGTTGCCTCAGCACCATCTGGTGCTCAACAACCACAGGTAGTTGTGGCCTGTGCAGTTGTGGCCTGTGCAATGCCTTTGTACCCTTTTCAATGCCATCATACCTTTCCCAGGCTTACCTTAAAGGGACCCACTGTTTCTCCTCCAATGATTTTGGCTGAGTTCATATTTAAGAAAATGCTTTTTAAACTAAGCTTCATTGAACAAACTTTTCCATCCTGATTCACGGTCCCTGCTAAGTCAAAAGAAAATAACCAAGCAGGATATAGTATGTTCATTTTTAATATTGTGTGTTCACATTTGTTTTCCACATGAGCTTGCAGTTCTTCTACAGTGTTGGATCCAACTGTTTCCTTTATCTTTATGATGTGGATTAATACAGTAAGGATTTACTGAGCGAGCCTTATTTTACAGTTGCCCCAAAGTGTAGAAGGAACTCCCTCTTCAATTATGGAGCTTTCCTTGACTTACATTGAAAGCATAAAATGTATCCAGTTCAAAGGTTTGTTTCTGCAAGGGTTTTTTTTATAGTTTTGTGAGGTTTTCCTTTGCAGAACGCATAGTAGTCTATGGTATTTTAACTGTTAAGATGACATTGTAAACTTTGGACAGGTAGCATAAACTTGTGAAATTGGCAAAAGCTTGAGAGCTTTAGCATAGCAGTGTTCCTTACTTCAGATAATTGTGCTCTGTAGGTGCAGTCATTGTTTATCTAGCATGTCAGTCTCCTTTCTTCCTTTGGCCTGTGTGAGTGTGTATGCCTCTTTTGTCTCCTGCCATGTGTTGTTGTCTAGTGCTTTCCAGATGAATTGGAACAGAACTCCCTTCATTCGCTCAGTCTTTGTCCATATCTTAGTTGTTTGTTTGCCTTCGTTATCTGTTTGTCCTGTGTTCAGCTTACCTCTGCTTTTCTTTTCCCAATGCTTTCCTTCAGCCTGCTTTGGATGAAGAATCCCACAACCAAGAGGGAAATAAGGTATTTCCTCTACTATGGCTTATATGCCTTAGGAGCACAGGCTGTAAATTATTTAAGTTGAATTCTCATGAAGCTCAGGAACCTTCAGGACTTAGCAGTTACAACAGAGAATACCCCACCATCATGACCATAAGAAAGCATCAGTGAGATGTCCTCTTCTGAATAGGAATTGGAAGGCTTAGATCTGTGATGGCGAACCTATGGCACATGTACCACAGGTGGCATGCAGCGCCTTCTCTGTGGGCACGCAAACTGTTGCCCTAGTTTAGCTCTGCCACACATGAAAGCGCACCTCCCACTGGCCAACTTATTGTTGGGTCTCTGCCACACATGCGCGGGGGGCGGGTGTGTGCAGGGGGCACATGCGCAGGGTGCTTGCGGGGGGCTGCGTGTGCATGCTGGGGGCGGTATCAATGCTCGGGGCCCGCGTGTATGTTGCATTTTGAGGTTTCGGGTACGCAATTTGGGCACTCGGTCCAGAAAAGCTTAGCCATCACTGGCTTAGATGGAAGATGTTTTTTATGGGGCTTATATGTATCCAATACCCAGCACTGTGAATTGTATTTGTGCAGTTTTTTCAATTTCTTTGGTCATCCAAAATCTCTTGTCCATCTTATTCTAATTTGGGCTTTTTTTCTCTCCCTCCCTTTCCTCAGGCAAAGGCTGGCGGTGGTGGCCAGAGGCTTGGTGGCCAGCATTATAAAGTGAAATCTCAAGCAGATATTGTGACTCCAGCTGGTGGCTGCTGAACATCTTTTCAGTAATTGAGAAATTCTCATCTCCCCCTCCATTTCTTCAATTCAAAAACCCGGAGCAGCTTAACCAAAATCCTTTGCAGCTGATCTTCTACTGTGAAAGATGCCGGGAGACTGAGGGCGGGGGGGGGGGACTACGAATTTCCAGGGAATATGGGTTTTCCATTGAAACTAATGAAGGTGACAAAGAACAGATGGAACTGACCAGCAGCCACCTTCTCCCTTTTCCCAAAACATTTTGTACACCTTGAGCTCTTAGTCATGATTTTTATGTTTTTGTTATGGTGGTTTTGTGTGTGAGTGTGCTTGTGAGCATGTGCATTCAGGAGAATACAGGTATAGAAAAGAAAGTACCTGTGTCTTCTCCATTCCCACGCTCACCATTAGACTAGCTAACTTACTCTTTTGCAGTTGGGAATTTCTGAAATCCCAAGCCTTTAAGAGTTTCCTACAGAGCAAACTGTATGAAAAACAGAGGCTTCTGGTATTACCGACTGCATGCCAACTGATTTAGCCCAATCTGGCAAGCCATGGCCTCCTTTCAATTTAGTATCTTGTAGCAGTTTCAGTCTTATTGTTGCTTTTTTCCTTTGCCAAATATATTTTAGTATCATTTTGTTTAATTCTTCAAAAAAAAATTTTTTTTTTCCTAATTTTATCGGAATTGTTTGAAATACGAATAACAATATCGGCAAAATGTTCTTCCTATCAATGATAGCTGCAGATTTTTCCATTTCTCCAAGTCTAATTTAATTTGTTGTGATAGTTTCATATAATTATCTTCTTTTATAATTGCACACCTTGCTGTTAGCTGAACTCCTAGGTATTTAATTTTCTTAACTACCGTATTTTCCGGCGTATAAGACGACTTTTTAACACATGAAAATCTTCTCAAAAGTCGGGGGTCGTCTTATACGCCGGGTGTCGTTCTCCTGTAACCAGGCAGACCAGCCCGAAAGGCTCTGATGAGCCTTAAATGGCTCTGACGATCCCAGCTGAGTTCCCTGCAACTCAGCTGGGATCGCCAGAAACCATGTAAAAGAAAAAAAGTTTTTTCCCTTTTACTCTGACGATCCCAGCTCTGAGGATCCCAGCTGAGTTCCCTGCAACTCAGCTGGGATCGCCAGAAACCATGTAAAAGGAAAAAAGTTTTTTCCCTTTTACTCTGACGATCCCAGCTCTGACCATCCCAGCTGAGTTCCCTGCAACTCAGCTGGGATCGCCAGAACCATGGCTCTGACGGTCCCAGTTCTGACGGTCGATCCCATCCCAGCTGAGTTCCCTGCAACTCAGCTGGGATGGCCAGAGCCATGTAAAAGAGAAAAAGTTTTCCCCCTCCAGCTTGCTTACCTCAGCTGCTAGTCGCAACGCTTGCCTTGCTTTGCTTGCCTGAATCTATTCAGGCAAGCAAGCAACTCCCTGCCTGCAATCAAGCAAGGAGGGAGTTGTGGACTTCAACTCCCAGAATTCCTCAGCCAGGAAAGCAAAACTGCCTGAGGAATTCTGGGAGTTGAAGTCTACAAGTCTTAAAGTTGCCAAGGTTGGAGACCCCTTTTCTATTGGGTAAGTTTTTTTCCCCTTTGGGAGCTTTAAAAAAAATAGTCAATTGGGTTTTTTTTAGTTGTTCTTTTTTAGACCTAGCCATTTAAAGTTTAGGAAGTTTTAAATTTAGCTTTCATATAAAAATAAAAATAAAATAAAATAATATTTGTGCAGCTTTCTGAGATTTAGTGTGTTTCTGTAGTGTTTCACTCCAACTACACAAACACACAAAATCTCACAAAGCTGTATGTGGAATTTTGTGTGTGTAAAGTGTGAAAGTTGATTTTTTGGACTTTTTGTGGCTGTGTGAGGTTCCTGCTTGTTGCAGGGGCCATTTTGGGTCTAGCACAGCTGCTTTTACATTGTGGGTGAGCCAGTTGTGTTGTGTTGTGTGTGTTTAGAGTGTGAAAGTTTTTTGGGGGGGGCTTTTTGTGGCTGTGTGAGGTTCCTGCTTGTTACAGGGGCCATTTTGGGTCTAGCACAGCTGCTTTTACATTGTAGGTGAGCCAGTTGATGTTTTTTAATTTTTATTTGGTGTGCATTGGAAGAGGGGCAGTCTTATATGGCGAGTATAGCCCAAACCCTATATTTTAACAGGAAAAGTTGGGGGTCGTCTTATACGCCCAGTCGTCTTATACGCCGGAAAATACGGTATTTGAATATCTATCTTTTCCACTAACTTTTTTTTGTTTCTCTGTGACATTTTTAACTAGTATTTTAGTTTTATCTTTATTCATTTTCAATCCTGCAACTTCACCATACTCTGCTATTATTTTTATTAACTTGGGTCCAGATTCTTGTGGTTCTTCTAAGATAAATACCAGGTTATCTGCAAATGTCTGTAGCTTATATTCTTCTGTTTTTATTTCCATTCCTTTTATTTCTGAGTCTTGTCTAATGTTTCCATTAAGTATTTCCAATGTTAATATAAATAATAGAGGGGACAACAGACCTCCTTCTCTCATGCCTTTTCTTATGTTAATGTTTTCAGTCACATCCCCATTAACCATTACTTTTGCAGTTTGCTTAGAATATATTGCCTCAATCATGTTAACAAATTTCTCCCCATAGTCCATATATTTTAATTGTGATAACATAAATTGCCAATTTACATTATCAAATGCTTTCTGTGCATCTAAGAATATCAATGCCATTTGTTTTTCTGGATGCATTTCATAATATTCCAACGTGTTCAAAATGATTCTCATATTATTCCTAATTTGCCTTTTAGGTAAAAATCCATTCAGGTCTGGGTGTATAAATTCATTCAGGAATCTTTTTAATCTTTCTGCAATTATTGAGGCATATATTTTGTAGTCTGCATTTAATAGTGATATTGGCCTAGTTTTTTTATCTGCATTAAATCTGATTCTTTTTTCGGTATCAGGGATATATTTGCTTCCATCCATGTGTTTGGAATTTTGGCCTCTAACAGTACTTCATTATAAACTTCCAATATTGGCAAACCCAAAGTATCTTGTAAACATTTATAAAGCTCTGCTGGTAGTCCATCTGGTCCTGGTGTTTTATTATTATTATTTTGTCTCTTGATCTCCTCTGTTAGTTCCATCATTGTTATCTTTTCATTTAACATAACCTTCACTGTTTCTGGTAATTTGGGTAATTCAGCTTTCTCCAAATATTGTTTTATTTTTTTTTCTGACACCTTCTCTTGATTATATAATTTTCTGTAGTAATTCTGGATTATTTTCTTTTTAGTTTCACTCATAGCTGTGTATCAATTTCTTCTCTTTCTCCTTTTTCAATTTATATGCTAACCATCTTCCTGGTTTGTTGGCATTTTCAAAGTAATTTTGTTTTGCTCTTTTAATCTTTTGTGCTAGTTCTTCTGTTTCCATTAATTGAGTTTATGTTTTATCAGTCCCATTTGTTTTTTTAAATTTTTTTGCGGTTCTTTCTGTAACTGTTTCCAGTCTTTTGTGTTCTTCTGCTAATCTCTTTTGTGTTTGCCTCTTTTCCTTATTCTTTTTTGCTGTATAGGTGATTACTAATCCCCAAATATATGCTTTTGCTATATCCCATACATTTTGTAATGAAGTCTCATCTTTTGTATTCTCCTTGAACAAGATTTCCATTTCTTCCTCCATTATTTGTATAAACTCTTTATCATTTAATAGGGCTTGATTCAACATCCATCTCATTTTTTCCCTTTGATCTTTCCAATTTATTTTCATTGTGTTGTGATCTGCCTGTACTGTACATTTATTTCAATTTCTATCTCCTGTACATTTGTTCTTAATTCCGGTGTCATCTATATCATATCTATTCTCAACCATGATTGATGTCTGAGTAGAATGTATCTTGGTTTTTCTCTAAGTTCATGTCTCTCCATGTATCTTGAAGTGATAGTTCTATCATTTTAAAGAAGGTCCTAGGGAGTGTTTTCCATGTCTTTTTATCTACTTTCCTACTTCTATAGTCCAGTTTTGGGTCCACAATTACACTGAAGTTCCCTAACACACAACTACTGTCATAATCCATTTCAGTTATTTTCATGTGGAACTGTTTATAAAATTCTTCTTGCTTATTATTGATATCAAAAGTACTTGTTTTTGGTTTATTATTATCTCTACCATCAAAATTCTCCCATCTTCATCTGTGTATATTTACTTGGTGTTTATTGTTTCCTTTATATATAAGACCACCCCCTTTTTCTTTTATTGTGCTAATGAAATGTAACTTTTCCCATTTTGGAGTATTCTAAAAGCCTACTATGTTGTTTTTGAATATGAACTTTTTGGAGACAGATTAAGTGAAGTTTTAATTTTTGTAGTTTTGTGAAAGTTTTTTTTTCCTTTTTATTGGTGAATTCAATCCATTTATGTTGATTGATATCATTTGTATTTCTTATTCCATCTTCTCACTTGTATATAGGTCGTATTGTCCTAGTTTATCTTATTTCTCTCAGTTCCTTTGCTTTTGCTCCTTCTTGTTCTACTTGTTCTGTTTTCTGGGACTTTCTTTCTGACGTATAGTCTTTTCCACATTTGCTAGTTCTCTTTGCCCTTTGTGTTCTCCTTCCTCTCCCCTTCCCTGTTCTTCAGTAGTTCCAAAGTGACATTCATAAAATTCATATGCTTTATCTAATGAGTCCAATCTATCTTTTTTTCATTTCAAGTTGCCAAAATTCCCCCCGGTATCAGCTATCTAAAATTTACATTGTATTTAATCAGCTGACCTGTCAAGAATTGATATTGTCTTCTTAGGTTTCTTACTCTTCTTGGCACCTGTTTCACCGCCACAATTTCTTTGCCTTTATATTGCAGAGGTTCAGCTCTCGCTTTTTAAAGTATTTCAACTCTTATCAGCTTGACAAATCTGACATGAAATTTGTCTCGGGAGATTATGTCTTCTCACATAGGTTGTGTGTATTCTGAATATTTCATCAATTTCTGTTTGCATTTCCTGCGTTGCAATTTGTAAGGCATTTGCCAGCAATTCTATCATTATATCAGGGTAGGTCTTCTCCTTTTTCCTCTTCTATATTTTGGAATCTCAAGAAATAAGCAGCCTTTCCATTTGCAACAAAATAATGTTTTCCTCCAATTCTTTATTTTCCTGTGTAAGCCTTTGATTCATTTCCTCCATTTTTTTCTCGGCTTGTTCTGATTTTTCCTCTATTACCTGAATCTTTTGTTCTTTTTTTTCTATCATCTGTTGGAAATTCCCTATTTTTGCATTCATGTTGTGTACCGTTTCTTTTACCTCTCCCAACTCACTCTTCACCTCATTATGATTCTTTGTTATCGCCTCCTGTAAGGATTGGAACATTGTCATCACGTCTTTTTGAAATGCATTTGATTGCTCTGCTTGTAACATGCTCTCTATCAATCTTTTACTTGATGGACTTGATGCTGCAGATGATGTTTTCTTTCCTAACTTGCTTAAATTTGGATTGCTTGCCATTTCTGCTTATAACTAATGTCTATTAACCAGGTTAAATGGGACTTTAATTTAGCAAAATACACCACAATAAATATCCTAGCTCCCAAGCAACTTCTAACCCCACTGCTTTATACCAAGGAAAGGCCACTCTTTTCTCTTCCTATTCCCACCTGTATCACAATCTTATAACTTTTATAATCCACCAGATCAGTCCAAAAATTTATCCTGTAATAGCGTGGAGTACTTCTTTGCAAATAGTTATTTTTCTTTCTTCTTCTTCTCTCAATAACTAGTATCAGTAATCCACAAGCTCATCAATACCCCAGGACGTTGCAACTCTCAGTTCACTTTTCAAAGTTCACAGCTGCTTCTTTCTTCTCTTAGTATTAAATATTTGTAATCCAAAAGGCCCATCAATTCTCCAAGACTTTATAAATCTCAATTCGCTGTTGAGTATATTTATAATCCCAAAGCATTAAAATGTGGAAAAACACAAATCCCAAAGTTTGGAGTATCCAGCCAGTCCAAGAGCCAAAAAAAGGAAAAAATAAAAAATAAAACTAAACAGGAGGAAAGTCTTTCACTTGGTCTCAAAACAAATCCAAGCTGTTTCACTTCTTCACTTTGCTAGCTCAATTTGTAATCCACAATAGTTCAAAACATAGTTTAAAGCCTTTTAATATTTTCACTCTGTATCTCCAAACTTTCAAAGTAAGCAATCTGCAGGTGCTATTTTATTTCAAACTCCTTTCCAAAAATAACCACCCTAGACATAACAGACTTCTTCTATCGACTTGCAGTGTCCTCTCCAAACTTTAGGTGTCGTGCTTACTTAGTTTTCCATTTTTACTACAATATTTATTTTGAAGACAAAGGGAAAAAAACCTTTTAAAGTCCGTCCAAACTTAATAATCATCAAATCAGTTCCAATTTTTTAGTAGGAAAAAAACAAAACAAAAAGAACCAGTCCAGGCTCCCCACAGGTTTTAACCCGTGCCTCTTATATTTTAAATGAAATCAGGCTTTTTCCGGATTGTCAAAGGCTCAAAATCTTAGTCTCCACTAAGCTTTGGGAAGCAGGCAATAAAACATCCTGCCTCCCCTTTTTGAGTTACACTCTCCAGGAAAGGAAAAGTTCTTGGGGAAAATTCCTCCCAGAGGTTAGAAAAAAAAAAATCTTGCCCAGATCACTCATGCTGCTGCTCAGTCCTTCTCAGTCACTTCTTCCATGGGGCTGTCCTAGCTTGTTCTGGCCATAATGGCCATTGTCTTCTCCTGCCAGCCCCTTGCAGGTCCAGCTTCCTCTGGACCTGCAAGGGGCTGCTTTCTTCCTCGCAATCTATGGAGTGTCCCGTCTACTTCGTTACCTTTCCGGGGTGACTTTTGACCCCCTAGGGGGCCTGGTAGGTTGAATTTGGCTGGTTTAGCTGAGCTCCGTTAAGTCATTACCATACTGCCACAACGTCATCCCCGCCCTCTTTCATTTATTTAATTCTTTTGTTCAGAAAGATGAATGTATAATGCTGGCAAGCATTAAGGAAATCACAGTGCTGTGTTCTCCTTTTTGAGCCACACATAAGAACTACTGAGGCTACCATGGTGTCAACATTAAAAAGAACAATGTGGTAAAAAAGAAAAGCTTGTTTTCTCAATTTTAAAGGAAATGGGTTATTACTTCACTAATCCTGGTTCATAAAATGTAATCAAGTTAGATGTAATTTGTAAATATGTTTCATATGGCTGAAGTTTCTTCCCTGAAAAGTCTTGAAGACTAGCTGGTTGTTTTCCTGAACTGGGGATTTACTAAAATGCTTTCAGAACTTTTTGTCAATCAAATTGACAAAAGAAACTTGTGCCATAAGAAAAATCCTGCTGAATCAAATATGCCTTTTTCTATATTGTGACTTAAGAGGGTGTTCAAAAACATGAGCAAAGTCAGGTATTTACAACTGGTATTTAGCAAATGCTGTCTTTCATTCTGAAGGTATGGTTACACTGAAACCAGTAGCTCTACAGATTTAACTAGCTTTTTAAAAAACAATCTAAATTAGTATCACCAATCACATTCATCTAATAGAAGCAAATTCTATGTGCTTTATAAAGAATTGCCTTATCTTGTATCTCCCCGAGTTTCACACTGATGCATGATAGCCAAGTTCTGGTATTTTTAGGAAAATTTCTACATAATTTTTATATACATTTATCAAATTTTGAATGAAAAATAGTTTGTAATCTTTTCAAGCTAAAAGACAGCTTAATTATTTTGGGTATCCTATTTACATCCTTCCTAAAGAGTTGTAATGACCAGAATTTTATGAAGTATTCCAAGGGCTATTTATAACAGTTGTTCATAAGAAATGTGCACAATTAAAAAATAAGTTCAAAGCTATTGCTATTTTGAAAAACTCAGATTGGAAAAGTTGCAATCCTGATTTTAGTTAAGCCTTGACATCAAATGTTTTCTTAAAATTAAACTACAGTAGTTTAAACAGCAGTATAAATTGCTTTTTTAATTATGTAACTTTTTCAGCAGATTGGCTCTTCCTGGGACTCCTTCCCTCATAGGAGATTTGTACTGACATGGGAGGAGGGGATATCTGTATGTCCGCATATGATCTGTGATTTATATGACAAACACCTGTAGTACCATTATTCTTTGATGAGAATTTCTACTCCTATTTTACTCCTCTCTGACCCCCAAAAATTTCTTTGTTCATTAATGACTCGTTTCACCACTTTTAAGAAAAATCATTTATTGATTTATCTTGCATAGGTATAGATTACAACAAAAATAACAGACTGTGCAGCATTTGTAATCTACAGATTTAGATACACTCCTCCTAACCCTCAATACAAAAAGATTTCTTAGTATGATTTATTATTACAATCATGAATCTGTGGGGTACCTTCCTAAGGACAAAGTAAGTTTGGTAAAAGTCATATTTTTCATGCTTCGCTTTTGTATCCACTTGAAAAGCATTCCTGATGATAACCATTGGATATGTACAGTTTGGAAGCTACTATATTGCTTCTCAGTCAATAGTCTTAACTAGCCATCTATAGTTTAGTACCTTCAAATGTCTGTGGCTATGTGAAAAAGGTTAGATCTGAGAGTAGTGAGAGCAGCTGCATGAAAATGACAGGTGAAGGCATTGGCACCATAAAATTGTAATACTTTTTCATATGCTTAACTAAGCACTGTTGATTTGATATCACTGGATTTTCGGTCTCTGGTTGTATTTTATAACATGTTTAAGTTAAAAAGCTTGGTTAATAAGTACACATGTGTAGCTACATTATCTATACCTGTGATGGCAGACCTATGGCACGCGTGCCACAGCTGGCATGCAGAGCCCTCTCTGCAGGTACGCGAGCCATCCCCAGCTCAGCTCTACCGTGCATGCGCATGCGCCTCTCGCTGGGCCAGCTGATTTTTGGGATGCAGGTGCATGCACGGGGGTGGGGGAGGTTGCGTGTGCGTGCACAGGGAGCGGGGTGGTGGTTCGTGTGCGCATGCACGGAGGCGCATTGCATTATGAGTGCCAGCACACACACTTTTGGCACACGATGAGAAAAAGGTAGATCACTGATCTATACCATATGGAGGTCTTAAACCAGACTTATTGGCTGAACCAAAATGATGTCCCAGAATTAATTTATAATAAAACTTAATCTCAGGCCCCAGAGTGATGTAGCTGGACATGATGGCAAGCCATGAAATTTGACTACATATAATAGGTCAAATAAATCAAATAATTTCATAATAAGATCAGATGGGCAAAAATACCAGTAAATGCTCCTTAATTAAGTCTTTTTGTTTTTGTGTATCACAAGAATACAACTGCTATTCACAATATTTATCTTTCTCAATATAGTTCCATTATTTCACAAAAACACTGCATGTTCATCACGCCATATTAAATCCTAAATTCAGTTTTCTTCTAAATAGAACCATCCATTAGTCATTCTTTCATAACAAAAAACCCTATCCTTAACCTATCCCTATTTTGGGATAATTACAAACAAGTTAATTTTGCAGCTAATGTTAAAAAAAAAAACTATACATAAACTACATGGGACAACTAAGAACATGGAGAATGGGATGTGTCTTAAAATTTATTCCAAGTAGTGGACTAATGCAGGCCTATAATGTGCCTGAAGGAGCATAAGAATTCAGATGTTGAAATAAATTTTTGTAATTAGAATTCTTATGACAAGGAAAACCACTGTCCTTTTATCTAATTTTTTTTAAAAAAGTGCTGGAAACAGCCTTTACTGTAACATTGAAGGGGAAGTCATCAATTTAAAAATTAGTATAAGTCAAAGAACATGGGATTTATTCTGGAACCTAAAAATGCTACCTGATTCTGGCACCTGATAAGGAAATACTGGAAGAATGATCAGCTAGCAATTCCTTGTTCTTATTCTTGGCGAATGGACTGATAGAACCCATCTGTCATTTTTACAGGTACACACAAAGAAAGACAAATAGTACCGGAGGTCTGCACAAACATCACAAATACTAGCTAGATCTTTCTGTTAGATACAGCTGGTTAACAAAGTTTATAGAGCCCGATAATGGTAACAAACCTTTATTAGCTAAATATTTCTCAAGAATTTAATGTGCTATGTTATGTTACGTCAGAGCAGTCACATCTTCATACCGAAGAAGTTGAGGCAAGGCCCAAGTAATACTATTTCTTCTATAATACTGTTATATGCATGCACCAGTTCTAGTTGCAAGAAACCTTGTCCTTTGCCCCACACCTCTTCTCTCAATAGGTGCATGGAATGAGTAACGGATACTACTCTGCCATTGTAGCTACCAAAATGCAGCAGTAAACTTGTGCACATTGTGCACATCCACTACGTTCATATTTACAATTGAGAAAATGCTTTTAAAACAAAGCCCCAAAGCAGAGGAAATGGCCAAGCTCAGCCTACTCCACTGTCACTTATCCTTAGGGATGAAAGGAACCAGTTGACCCAATTGGACCAGGGTTTTTTTCTGCTGCAAGAGAACTGCTGCTGCTCCTTTGGACAGTGCTAGCAACAATCATTTGCAGAACTAAGATTTTCCTAACTTTAACCACATATATCAAAGATTGAACCCAGGACATTCAACATTTACAATACTCTGGTGTAGTTCACTATCCCGTCCTGCTATCAGATATCTCTACATTCTCTCTTCAGTTGTCAGCATGGTTACCTACCTAAATGTTTATGTGGCTTCATTTAAATAATAAAAACCACTGCAGTCAAGAATAGAGATAATATTCACGTTGGCTAGTGTGTTCCAAATGCCAGATCATTTTTCCCATCTGATCTCTGTTCTGGTAATCTCAACCTATCTGGATTGATTTGGGGTCATCAAGTCGATGTCAACTATTAATGACCACACTGACAGACCTCTAGGATGACCAACACATCTGGAGGGTTCCAAATTGGAAATGCTGGACAAGGCTGTATGTCTTCCCCTTAGATTAATTTTTCTAAAGCAGGAAGCATTTGTTGGTTCCAAAATTATTTCAGCCTGAAAAATTGGGTCTTTTGAGACCCATCAAAGTCTCCACACTCTTTTGCCATGTATGGCTATTTCTTTCTCAAGTAAGGGTGGAAGTAGGAATTATTTAGGCAACAATCCAGAAGGTTATATCTATTGAGCACAATTTTATTCAAAGACGATCCATTTAGCAAAAAGAAAAATGTTCTTTGCATGTGTCTATACTAAGAACAAAGCTTTTCCGCTAGAAAGGGTAGCAGTTAAATAGAGTGTAACACTTTAGAGCAAAGAAAAAGAACACCATTTTTTAAATCTTTCCACCTATAAAATTGTTTCTGTGATCAACAATTAGCATAACTGGAAGATAGTTTTCCTTGTCTTGTTGTTTTATTCTTTGCTGTGTTTGTTTTCTACTAAAGGGATGGGGGTGCTTTTTCATGCCATAAGCAATGTTTAAAAAATTATGCCATCTCAGAACTCTAACTCTCATATTTTGCAGAAATATGGCAGTTTTCTTTACTATTTAGTCAGCATGGGACTAGTTTAGCAAATTATTATAGACATTTAGTTGCACTTTCTCTGTTTCAAGGAACTATTCAAATAAATGGCTGAAAATTCAATCAGCTTAGAAATATAAGGTTGTGTGGTACATTAGAAGTTCAAGTTCCTGCTACTCTTAATGGTTTATGAGATTAATATATACAGTATGTTATGCAAGCTTAAAAACAGCATTTAATCCCTTTCCAACATATACAGTCCAAATTACAGCAGCTTCTGATATATCTATATTATCATCAGGAGTTGAAATGAACTGAAGAGTCTTTTACCTTTTTGTGAACTACAATAAGCAACTTGTCCACTGAAAGCAGATTAAAAGACAGAATTCAATATGAAACAAGTTTTGCATTGGAGCTAATATTGTAATACTGACTTGTGAAATATAGGGGATATTCAAGAAAACAGTATTCAGAGATATTTCATCTCTGAACATGCTGGATACTTTGCCATCGGCATTAACAACCATCCCCCTCTTATTAGGAGCTGGTGCATTTGATTCTAGGCCAGTGACAGTATTATCTCATTTTCTAAGAAACAAAATACTGCACATTGGTAAATATGCGTCAACATTTAATCCATACAAATAATTCTAATTTTCCTTTACACTATTTTCCCAATAGAAAAACTCTTTTTCCATTCATCAAAACTGCAGCTTCCAATTTCTAAACACATCACAGTTCCCTAACAAACAATCCCCCATTTCTCTCTGTATCTTTGAATCTGTGCATTGTTGCTTCCATGGAATCCTGTCAACATAGGAAGAGGAATGGCCCTAAATCTACAATCCTCATCCATGACAGATTTCATGAAAACATTCCTTTACCTGTCTCCACACAAAATGATTATGATATAAAGGTGACCAAAGTTATGACACTTTTTAAAAACTTTTAACTGCCCAGAGTTTCCAGCACACCTTCTGTATCCCCCAGAACCACTCAGAGTAGGCACAGTAAAAGGAACCTTTCTATGAAGAGGTGGAGGCTTTGGGGGGAAGGGGGAACACACAAATGAGGGCCTAAACAGGACCCTAGAACCTGGCAAAGGCTTTATATCCTTACTCCACACCAAACCTTATGTCACTGCCAATTTTTTTTTTCTGCATTGCTTAACTCGTTTAAATATGCCTTCAGTCCCCAGAAAATTGAGCTTTAAAGAAACAACCAGAAATTAGGTTTGGAGAAGTATAAAGGAGGGGATAAATATGAACTGGATTAAGTATGTTTAAAAAACTGCTTTAAGAACAACTAAATATAAAATACCAATCCAAAAGGCCTCTTTCTTCCTCTGCACTCAGAAGAGTGTTGTTTCCAGGAGAGAGCTGACTGATCAGGGAGTGTCACAGCTTACATCCCATCTCTGTGCAACATAGCAAAAAAGATATATTGCCCATTCGAAGCTGCCTGTCTTCCTGGCACTGCTTCCCAACTGCCTTTCACAGTCTGAAGTGCAGGTCTCGAGGTAGGTGACTTTTGAGCTAGTGGTGCAAGAAGACGTTATGAGACCAGCTCCCCATGCACACGGAAGCGATAAATGCAGGTGTATTCTGGATGGCCCCAGTTGCTGAGAACTCTGAGCTCCACCAGCTGGAAGGCTGCCTGTCTGTCTATATCCTGAGGATGGGAAAAGAAAAGAAAAGGTTGACTTTTAAAAACGTGACCTGTAGAGAATGCTCCTTCAGCTTGGCCTACTTTAGTTCAAACGTGCACTTACTGCCTGGAGAACAGTAACATGTCTCTGATCACATTCCTTAAAAAAGGAATATGTCACTTTTTCAGCCATGGGCTTTATTTTTACTTTTCTCCCTGGAGATGCTAGAAATATATTTGTTTACAGAATAAAGCCTGCATTTTTTTGGTATGATTTCCCTTAAGGGAAAAAGTGGCTGCCATAAGTTCTTAAATATTTGATGTACACATTTTTTTAAAAAATAAAAATGCTGAAAATTGATTGTGCAGTCTGGGAGTGTCGGGAGCCACAAATTGAAGGCAAGATGCAGGGTACATGTATTCAAATGTATAAATAAACTTTTTAAAGATGCCTCCACCAACAACCAATAGGAAAGGCCTCAAACATGATTCTAATTTGTTTCTATCATCTATAGAAATATGCCTAATTCACCATCCCTGTCAGAACTCTGCAAGCATTGATAAATGGGTACAAACTGCCTTCCTTCTTTCCCAACTTGTGCAGACCAGATAGTTTGGACTATAACTCCTCATCACTGTCCTGAACAGAGATAGTGAGGGATCTAATCCTTCACATATAAAGAGCGCTGGGTTGGGGAAAGCTTTGAAGTCCACTTCTTTGACCAGGAGATATTAGTATATGGGGCCGAACCGTAAAATGATCAATTTCTTCACTGTATTATAGTTTATTGCATAGCCAGATGTTCAGACTGTATTTGGGATTTTTATCCTCTTATCAAATCCTTCCCAAGGACCAGGGACAGCAGATCCGTATCTTTGATGGTGTTAAAGGTTATTATTATTATTGTTTTAGTAAGAGCAGACTCCTGTGCTATGTCCCTTAAAACATAAGGAAAATCCATCTGCTGCCTCCATAATGGCTAATCCTTGGGTAACTCTGCAGGTAATATCACAATGAGACCAAAACAGTTATACTTAAAAAAACCAAAAACTACTATTATAATCCCTACATTTTATTGTTTGAAACCTATTTTACAAACAGATTCTTTATCCAGGGAAGACTGTATAAATAAAAGGTACACTGGTACGCTTTATTAAAAAATCTATTCAGGACTGAATAAAAACAGCAAATAAGGCCCACTGTTTCCCTGCAAGCTCTGAAGCCCTTGGTCTACCCTCACTCCCATTTCTTGTCCTTTTTCTTACCTGAAAGTGAAATGTTTGGATAGAATCCCCATCTTGATTGTATGTGAAATTCCCAAGGAGGATGCCCTCTTGATGGTCTTCTTCCTCTAAGCCCTAAGCAAACAAGTGAAGATAGGGATAGGAATCAGATCACTTAACAACCGGGTTATAATTTAAGAATTGCAATGATTCACTTAACAAATGTGGTGAGAAAAGTCGTAAAACGGGGCAAAGCTCACTTAAGAAATGTCTCATTTAGCAACACAAATTTTGGGCTCAGTTGTGATCGTAAATTGAAGACTACTTGTATAGAACCAACATAGCAAAAAGAGGTCTGATCATTATAAACATATACTCTCCCACTTCAAGGACATGTCTAATTACAGAATTTCAGTCAATGCCAGAGACTTATATTGAGCAATTCAGTGACCTGTTGCACTCTAGATGCCATCAGCCTCTCTTCAGTATGCTTTGTATAATTTCCCCAGCATAGAAATTCATTTCCTCTTAATTTCCATACCCTTATGATAGTTTAGCAATAATAATAAATCCACCATCAGCAACAGAACTGTAATTTTCTCCCTGTAGCAATTTATATAAGAAGCTATAAGATATTTTAGTTTTTGATGGATGACATTACAACATTTATTTCTATTTGATTGTATTTATATTTTATATTGTTTTACTGTATTCAATTTTTAGTTTATCTTGGCTTTTAGTTAAATAAATATAAATTAATCTAAATATTTCTTTACAAAGATTATCTTGGGTCCAAAGTCACCCAGCTGGCTTCATGTCTTAGGGAGGACAAGAATTTGGTTTTCTGGTTTCTGTTTTGGTGCTTTAAAGTAGCACAAACTGATCCTCTGTGGTTTGTTTTAACCGTGTTTTATTGGAAAAGTCACAAGGGTTGTGTTCAAATGCTCAGTCATAAATCATTGTTTACATATCACTTATTATGCTAGGGCAATACCCAACAAGCCACATCTTTCCTTAAAAAAAACAGAGAACCACCCAGTCAGTGTTTCTGACCACCTAGTTCAAAACTATCTATGTTAATACTAGAACTGATGACTACAAATTATTTACTAATTTAGAGTGAGTATTGGAAGACTGTTTCTGTAGGGAAGTGCTGAAAAAATTTAAAATGAAACATATTCTCCCACTGGAATACAGGCAAAATTGACAAAATGTTAAAGACTGTTTTTCAATCTTTTAACAAAACTGGAAGCAAGAGACAGGAGATTCCTACACAGAGAAAGTTCAGGATCTTCTGCACTCCTTGGCTGCCAATACATATGAGAGGAATTGCCTATTGTGGGTTGTGTTTTCCCTGTGATGGGGGAAAAAAATCTGCCGTTTACCAGGACGAGCTCGCTATAATTTGCTCTTTCCTGCGATGTTGTCCAGACTTACAAAGACTGCAATGTCCTTGGGGGCGCTGGGAATGGTTCCACTGGGGGAAAGCGACTTGGAGATATGCTCTAACGTCACAGCAGTGGGATGGATCCTGCTTGAAAGGCGGATGACAGCAAAACCTTGGGAGCCTTGGAAGGCCCAACAATTTCCAGGATGGACATCTGGCTGTATCAAATAAGACAAACAAAAATGTGAGGTAAAAGGAATAAATCCTTGTATGTAGATTTATTTCTCTCAAGGCACAAGAATACTCTATTCAACCAAAAGAAAGAATATCACAAAACCTGGGCAGTCTTTTGATAGAAATTCACAAATTAAAATTATCACAGGCCCTTATGAAATTACCATCTTATTCAAAATAAAAACTGGAAATGTAAAAGAATTTTAGCAAAAATTCCTCTAGAAGCATGTTTGGAACTTTGCTCCCATGGAATAATAGGACAACATCCAACTAAGTTTATCATTCCCTAAATGTTTTTTTGTTTTGTTTTGTTTTGTTTTAAGCCAGGGAATTATTCTGTCTCTATCTTTATCAGGCAAAGGACCTCTTCCAACTTCCTTTAGTTTATAAATAACACATTGCAGAGAAGCTTCTTACCTTCTTGAATGAACTAGATGACAAAGTAACCATGGATATCTCATGGTGATTACAGTAAATACTGGAGAAAAGAAGAAACATTCTCCTTGCTACAAAAAACTTGTCTACCCCATCATGGGGCAAAAGCCAAGTAAACCGGATGACAAATAGGGGACATAAGCAAAATGCTCTGGAGAGTGAACAGGGAGTGAAAAAAGAGACAGCAGTTCTGTTGTTCCTTTGAAAATGAATCCATACCTGTAGAATGACTCTTGGAGACTGGGAGTGATACCACAATGGTATGCCAAAAAGGCTAAGAAGTGCAGTCTTGGTCTCATAGGTTTCTGAACACCGGGTGCTGATTACACTGGCCCCTATAATCAAAGTGCATGAATGAAGGTAAGTTGTGCACAGTGCTAATCCCCAAATCATACTGTAAATGAGGAACTAGAAATCTGGTATTAGACTATTAGAACACATTTGTATACCGGTACTTCATTCTTGGGAAAAAATTTTGCAGAGAATGAACCTGGAAGTTGCCAGCTTTTGGGAGGCAATAAGCCTGAAAATGCAGCACACTTTATGGATTCATGTCGTAACGTTAGAGAAAGAGGTTACAATATGATTGTACTTATAAGTGCTGTGAAGAATATTGGAATCTTTGTACCTTTATATCTTTCTTTATAACTTTTTTCTACTTTCTTCCATTTTCTTAGCTTTTTCTTTCTCCCTTTTCATTGTCTCTGTTTTAATTTAGTTGAATAAGTTACTATTGTTCTTAAAATGTATATGTATGTATATGTCCACAGACACACACAGAGCAAATAAAATGCCCCCTAAATGTTTAAATTTATAGATGAAACTGACCAAAATAATTCTAGTTTCTTGATATGAAAATTGGAAACTTATTTGTGGGATGGTGTTTTTTTTTTTTTGTATAACCTACCTCCAGATTCAAGTGCATAATCAACCATTCCGATGCGATCTTCACTGTAGCGCTTCAGGGCATCATTCACAATATGATGAACTTGCTGAAATAAGACAGCAAGATTGAATACAAGAAGATTTAAAGGGATACAACCTAAAAAGGGTCATATTCTCTCAGGGAGATTTACCTGAGGGTCACATGAGAGCTGGAGTTGGAGCACACAAAGTGATGGGACGCCTATTCTCTGTTCTCATTCTTCCAAGAAACAAGCTTCTTATAAACATTCTCTATTTTTATTTGTATAGAGTGTAAAGGGAACTGAAATTAAGCTGAGAAATATAAAGACAGCACATCCCTGTGCTAACAGCCAGAAAATGCTTCACAAGTGTTGCCCTTCCATAAGGTGAGAGATAAAGAAAGAAGGCTATCCTTTCAACTTCATGGCTTCAAGCCTGTTCAGGATAGCAGCAAAGTTAAGTCAAAACCTTTTGATACCAAGGCAAGGGGCATATATCTCTATTTCTCCTACAGAAGCCAATAAAACTGGTGATGGAATAGCCTTCTTCATGCATCTGAGGTTAGTTTAAGAACACAGGGAAGGCTGCATAAAACATATTGTCTATCTGCAATAAATGGGATGAGTAAAGAGGTCAAGAGAAAAAGAATAGAAGGCTAACATCCCGCTCCCTGTTGCCCAAGGTGTTTGCCCAAATTCTGTAGGGTGCGTTTTCAGAATCTATTTATGACTGATAGCAGAATGCCACAAATGATAGTTGAGAGCAGGGGTGGGTTCTAAAATTTTTTACTACCGATTCTGTGGGCATGGCTTATTTTGTGGGTGTGGTTTGATGGTCATGTGACAATTCTTTAGGATTTAGCAGAGGTACTGGTTTACCAAGTTTTATAACTGCTTGCAGAGCCGTACTAGTCTACCGATTTGTTTTTGGAGCGCACTGGTCTACCACCACACTGCCTTTTACCACTGATCAGCTGTACGGCAGCCCTTTGAAGAGCTACAGCAAGAGTTTAAACAGTTTTTTGTTGCTCTGCCACCACCGAGACCATCGGAAACCACTTTCAGGCAGCTTGGCCTCAATTGCCAATCTACCACCACCGAGTGGTTTACAAGGAGCAGATGGGTTCTAGCCGATCAGTTGGGAGGCTTCTTGACTTCTCAATTTAAAGCTAAGGTGTCTTGTTTTTTTTTCTCTTCTTTGTCAAGTGAGCCCTGATTTTTTTCCTTCTAGCCAATCAGCTGGGACTCGGGAGGCAGTAAATAGATTGGGGGCGGGGCCAGGCAGAGGTGGTATTTACTAGTTCTCCAAACTACTCAAAATTTCCATTACCAGTTCGCAAGAACCGGGGAGAACCGGTAGCAACCCATCACTGGTTTAGAGCCGTGGTGGTGCAATGGTTAGAATGCAGTACCGCAGTCTAATTCTGCTGATTGCTGACTGCCAGCAGTTTGCCAGTTCGATTCTCACTGGTTCTAGGTTGACTCAGCCTTCCATCCTTCCAAGATTAGTAAAATGAGGACCCAGATTGTTAGGGGCAATATGCTGACTCTAAACTGCTTAGAGAGGGCTGTAAAGCACTGTGAAGCAGTATATAAGTCTAAGTGCTATTGCTAAGTGCTATTAATTCTGGAACCTAGCCACTGAAATAAAAACAGTGCAATTAATGCACATGTAAATCACAGAGCAGGTCTTACAATCTAGATTTGCATATGCACAAGAACATCTCATATAAACAACATCCATTTATTCCGTAGATATTAAATGATGATTCTCTTAGATCTACTGGGAAAAACATCCTCATACCTCCTCAGTCACTCCTGTAATTCCTTCCTTATGAAGCGTGACTCCAACATTCTGCACAGACAATTCTTGGTCCTTCAAGATCTTGGCAAGGATCTTGTGTTCCAATTTGCGTAGCTGCTCCTGTAATTCTTCATGCTGGACAAAAGGTTTTCCAGTTTTATCCTCTCTAGTTTGGGACAGGAATTGGCTAAACCATGTCGGAAACTGAATTTCCACCTAAATCATTAAGAGAAGAACAAATTTGATAAACAGCTTATTCCTCCATCCTCACTCTTCATATCATGTCTGGTTTTCTATCAAATGAGACAGTCAGTGTATTACCAATTTCTGAATTATTGTGGTCTTTTAAAAAGAACAGATTTCCTTAATCTGATACCTTCTTAAATATGTTTAGTCTCATCATCTGTAGGAAATGTTGACTGGAGATGTTGTCATGGATGGATCACTTTTTGATAATTTTTACAAAGTTATCTGCTATAACTCACGGCATGGTTAGTTAATATGATCTAAAACCCTAGCTCTAGAAAGTTTCCTAAATTTACTTGAGGAATTTCCTGCCTTTTCTGTAATACTGTTGAAGACCCGGCTGATCTACAAAACATGTAGATGGTCTGTTCAATTTATACTAGTGCTCCGAAGTGCCTTCTTCCTTCTAATAAAGTATGAGTGGCACCTTGAATCACCAGAGAGTGAAGAGAAATGGGGCAGACCTTTAGATGGCAGGACCACAAGTGAAAAACCTTTGGAACAAATTGATTTAAAAGTGGGAAACATATTGGGAAACTCACATCTTCTCGCATTTCCTTGATCTGCCCTGGAAGAGATTCCACTTGTCTTGACAATGCCTTCTGATCAGAACCTAAAGTCACAAGTTCATTTTTCAGACTTGATAAATGTTCCTCCAGTTTATCCATTTCCTTTCGGAAAGAATTCATTAGGTCTTTTTTTATGGAGCTTTGAAAGAGGAAAAAACAGAACAAATGTTGAGGTGCTACTTATAATCCAATGCAAATAAAAGGTATTTATCCACTTTTTCTCAATTGTGTTGATCAAAAGCTAGCTTAAGGGTATGAACTTTTAAATGTTTTAATCCTCAAATTATGAACAGTTATCCAAACTGTGCATTTAATCTTTAATAATAGAATCCCACACAATAAATGGAATCCTTGGACAATCTCATATCATAGCAAGGCAACATTGGAAAAACCCAATTTAAGTTTTGCTAATGAATTTTATGTCAGCTGCCCTGGGAGCTCTTGTTTATTGAACAGCAAAGCAAAAATGTTTTAAATAAATACATATAAAGGGTATCTAGCTTTTTGTGGATGGGTAATCAGTATCTTCCATAGGATATTGAACCCCAACTTCCAGGAATACTGCTTGGAGGGTTAACAACCCTGTAATTCAACAATGTACAGAGAAGCATTACCTCAAGAATGTAGATACAAAATATGAGCTATCCCCAATTTATTAAAATCATATTTGGCTGTGAACACATTCTTTTTGCAAAGAATTGGAGGACATAGTCCCCTCTTTTAAAAAAAAAATCTAAATTTCCATGTACTATTTTATTGCATATGTATTCTTACAGCACTGCTTAGTAAACATAGCACAGAAACAACAGTATCCTGCTCAGATGCGATAGAAATGTTCCTGCTTACTCTGCCTTCTTGAAATGACCTGAAGTACGGTAACTGCACAGGCAGAAAAGTTAATTCGAACCTCAATTAAAATAATCACCTAATAATCATTACCCTAAAGTAATAGTTCAGGTAGAAAGGTACTGAATGTTATGAGTGCTAAAAATGCTTTTTTAGAATAACAATTCCTGCAAGGTGTAAGAACATTCCATGACTTCTTTGTTCCTTTTCACCAGAAACAGGAACATGATTTGCTCATGGCACTCGAATTACCTTTGCCACTGAGCTGTCTTCTCAAGCGTCCGGGCCTCCACCTGCTGTGAGAGAAACACCAGTCAGCATAGGCAAGATTTTGTATCAGTTATAAGCGTTCAAGTTTCTTAGAAATCTTAGGCAGATGATTAAAAGCCAAAATGAAACAAAACAAAAAAGGGTAAAAAGAAAAAGAAAGTGGGGGGAGGTATGGTTGATCTTTGAGCCAGTTTTACACCAGTTCATGTTCTTAAATTATTTGTAGGACAGCTTCCTCACATGTACACCTGTTAGATATAGGTTATCAAATATAGGTTATTGTTGCATTTGGGATCTCCAAAAGCTGGCTAAGAAAAAGAGAGCAAATGCTAGTAACCCACCCAAGTAAGACAATACTCTCTAGGGATTTCGGCTAAACTAGGAATAGACAATCTGAAGCTTTCACGCCTCAAGACTATGAACCCCATCTCCATATTGCACAGTCCCCAGAGCAACCTCCTGCTTTAATAGTTGAACATTTGCACTATATTTTCCCACCATTTTGAAGCAGAAAAAAATAAAATGAAGTTAACCTTTAAACATAGGTTGAAAAAGAAAAACACAAGTCTACCATGCTTACTAAGAAAGATAGAAAATCATCAGTCCTCCACAAGTATGTCATGAGTAGCTGACTTTGCTTCACTAAACAGACTCACTGCAGTCCTTCCAATTCCCCCAACCACCAAACTCCCCAATTATTGGGACAGCACAGAGGGACTGAATTTAAGATACCATTCATTTTGGACCTTGCCCTTAATAACAGTTGAACTATTTGTATAAATGGAAGATCCTTTTTAAGGATTAAGTCTGCTAAAATTCAGTGGTACATAGGATAAGATACATATGTCTCACATTTAAATGGGAACATTTACAAGATTGTGCCCAATAGTGTTGCCAGATGTTTCAAAAAGTTCTGAAAAACAGTTCTGAAATATTGATATAAAGGTTACATGTATGAACTTTACAGAGTAAGACAGGCTTTGTCATACCATTACATCTTGTCCACTTTATTACAAATGCTATACAAGTCCTACCTCAGAAGTCTGAGAAACTTTCTTCAGGAGATTGTCAAAATCCTTCTGCACCTGGGATCGGAAAGCATCCAATTTACTCTAAATAAAAGAGAAAAAAAGCAACACAAACATTAATGAATGGGGAAAATGCTAATTAAAAAAGTAAAAGTGTTCTTTAAATTGAAGTAGAGTTTTAAATTTTACTTGTTTCAAATTTCTTTAACATATAAAAATGAATTCAGCTCAAAGATGTAATTATAACAAGCAATCCTCTCTTCTGCTCATCTAGACTCCAACTTTTTTCACATTACTGTACATAGTTCTTATGCCAAAAAACAGCAATAGTTTGAGATACCAGGAGCCTGTATACATACAAATTTTATGAAATGGTGGCAATCTCATTCTGAGTTTTTATGAGATTTCAGGTAATATCAGTGCAATCTTAGCATTTCTTTATCTTGTGAAATTTTTGTCAAGTTTATTCAATGTTGAGGTTCTGTGAATACAAAATGTAGTGGCCCAAGTGCTCACCAATGGCAGTTGGTAGGATTAGATTATACTTACATTCTGGGCCCTGCAATAGCTCCTATTAACTTCCAAGTACACTTTCAAATGCTAGCTGTAACCTATAAAGACCCTCAAGTTACTTGCAGGACTGAATCTCTCCCCTGAAATTGGCCCAATCATTTTGATTATGCCACAAGAAACAATTAATTGTTCGCCATTTTGTGACAGTCAAGGGGGCTGAAGGCTGGAAGCATTTTTGTTGGTCAGGCCAGCCTTCCAGTATGACCTCTTGTTGGTGTCAACTCACAAAACTTTCCTGACCTGCTCCCAAGTTGCCATAGGCAGGGAGATGGAGAATCGCACCTCACAGCTGCATTGAGGAATTCGCACCTCAATCAAAACGAAACACATCCTAGCTGGCTGAAGTCAAGGCCATCTCCATGGAGACCCACAACGGCTGAAGGTAGTGACTTCTATGACCTGTGAAATTGCTTTGTTGGGGAATGTGACTGATGACACACCTTGGGGGGAGGGGGAAAACAGGGTCAGAGACAAGGCGCGAACTGAGTAAAGTTAGAGCTAGCTTCAGTTGGTCCGTGACAACATGGTATTCCTAATAAACAACTGGATTTTTCTTGAAACTTAGCTTGAGGCTCCTGCTTTTATTAGGGCATCGGTCAGAACCCTGACAGTTAGAGGTTTACTTACTGTAGGTCTGATGCTGTTCACTTTCCAAAAGTTGAAGATGGAATTCTTCCAGTGGGTATTTGAACTACCTTATCACTTAGTGGTTGCAAGTGGTTTAAGTATTTTAGGTATTTGTTGTTTTGTATTATACACCTTATATTTTATTTTATGGTAAGCTACCAAGAGTCTGTTTAGAATAGATTATGGTAGAATAGGACTGCAATGTCTGATAAGCTTCTAGTTAGGGTACATATACATATTTTGAAATTGGAGATTAACATTCTTTGAGCAATTAGTGGCTCCAGTTCACAATTATTCAAGTTTTTACAGTGCACCTTTCCTTTAGTCCCAACTGGTCTCCTTGCTCCCTGACCTGGAGATGAAGATCTATGTCTGAGCCAAGCTTCTCTCTCATGGCTGCCTCTTGCTGAGTCATCAGACCATCCAGAAGCACCAGGGTATCCTCATGTGACAGGGTGGCACCTTCTGTGTTCTTTCTTTTCTGGAATTCTAGCATAGAAGCTGCAGTTTCCAGGGTCTCAAAACGTCTTTCCAGTGCCTGGAGCCGAGACAATGTCTGTTGCTGGCCCTTTTAATCAAGAGACAATATGAAAGAAAAAAGAATGAAGTTTCATTCAGTGTTTAATAATCTCCAGAAGTGAATTATGCAGGATGTTCTGTGTGAATTGCAGCCAATGAAAAAAGTAGAAACCTGGATCACTTGTGGACTAGAGAGAAAGAAATATTTTTTTTTCTTCATTACACTGGTTTCCAGGTTGATCCAATATGTAACACAAGGACCTTGTATAATTTTCATGATTCACTTTAAATTATGGATTATTTTATATTATGTTAACATTTACGTTGAGATGTATAGAGGTATTCACAGTATTTAACATCTCTCTCTCTCTCTCTCTCTCTCTCACACACACACACACACACACACACACACACACACACACACACTCACGTGTGGCTTTTTCTGGATTGCAGTGTCTGCGCTCAGTCACTTGAGCCCTTATCATCTACATTTGGACTACTGCAATATGCTCTACATGGGGCTACTATTGAAGAGCATTTGGAAACTACAACTGGTGCAGAGTTTGATGGCGTGGGTAGTTCTTGGGCCCCTAAACTGGCTTAAGTCACATCACTGCTCCGTGAGCTGCACTGGCTGCTTATTTGCTTCTGAGTACACTTCAGGGTTTGGTTATTATCATTAAAACCCTGAATGGCACAGGACAAGGTTACTTTATGAACCATCACAGCACAATGGACCTCCCTGCTCATCCATGCTGTCAGAGGGGGCATGCTGCCGGCCCACCAACCAGGGAACTTCAGCTGGCATGGTCCAGGAGAGGTGCCTTCTCTGCTGTGGCTCCTGCCTTTGGAACATCCTGCCCCCTGGGGTGAGATCAGCTCCCACTCTCCTGACCTTCAATAAGAGCTTGAATACCAGGGAGCATCACACTGGAAATGGTTGATGAATTAAGAATCTCCCCTCCCCCCACTCATCCTGCTCTCTTCCCATCTTTAACTGTAAATTTTCTTTGGATAGTAATTCTATTTTTATTGCTTTTAGAAATATTTATATTTATGGTTTTATGGCTTTTAATGTTGTAAACTGCCCAGAGTCACTTTAATACGAGATGGGCAGTAAACAAATGTGATAACAAATCAATTAAGAGTCAAATTTCTCACCGATGTATACATATTTTTGTTTGATATTAATATCATACTGCACATTGTTATTGATTATTGAAGATGCATTAAATAGTTAACATTTGTGGAATATCCTTGTAGATCAAATCAATATTATAAATTGTAAATAGAAGGATTTGAAGCGGAGATTATATTCCTTGCCTAAGACTGTGTAGTAAATCCATGGCAAAAACAATATTCAAACTAGGGCTCTCCTAACTCATTTTTTTTAGCCATTACATACCACCTTTCAGTCTGAAAGAATCTACCAAAATAAAATTAAGATGGTTTAAGTGTCTGTGCTACATTTATGACATGAAGAAATCCTGGTGATTCCTATTAAAGCACTGCCAATTCTCAGCAAATATGAGAATTTTGCAATAGGTGATATTCAACATGAATATTCTCTACAAACACCCCTCTAAATCCACATAATACACACCTCAGAAAATACAGCAGTCTCTCCCATTTCTTGGTCCTTCTTGGTGCCAGAGGGAAATAATTTCACTGTTCCCCAAGAAAACATAGAAGGTTGAAGTCCAAAGGGATAAAAATACCAGGCACCTAAAATAATTAGAAAAGTAAAATAATCAAATAATATAATCATAATCAAATTGCTGATATATGCTGGCTGGGGAATTCTGGGAGTTGAATTCCCTGCATTGAAATGTTGCCAAGGCTGAGAAACACCACTATATGGATGTAATTCTTCAAAGCATTTTTAAAAATTATATTTATATTTTTCTGGTCTTCCAAGGAAAGTGATTCTAGCCATTAGGTGTGGCTCATTAACAGTTATTATGGATATTGTCTGATCAAATGGAGCTGTGGTTGCAATTGGAAAGAAGATATAACGTAGAAGGAAGCAGCCATAGTATAGAAACCTTAAAAAAGAGATTCCTTCAATAATGTTAGCATCAACCACACTGGGAAGAAAAGCAGAATTCTGAGCCCTTTTGAGTTCAGCTTCCAGTTGTATTAGGGAAGCACCAAAGCCCTATAATTCTTAAGAAATGGGCCCGGAATTCCTCCCACAAGTATTCTCAGCTGGATCCTGAGACTCATTCCCACATGTCTGTCTCAGAGAAGAAGCCAACAATTAAAGAAGGGCTAATCTTTTAAAAGTCACTCAATAAAATGAAGATATAATAAGATCCTGACAACTGATTCCTATTATTGCAGAGTAGCATTAGTTTCAGCATTGTTAACCATATTTCTGAAGCCAAGCCAAGAATCTCTAAGTGCTTATCTGCAAGAGTGGCAAGATTTTGGACTCACTTGATTCCAGATCTGTACCAATAAACAGTTTTATCTCATTTTGTTTGGGACAAGTCACTGCTTGAGTGGAATGCTTTCCTGAGAATAAGAACAGTAAAAGGGAAGGAAAGACTTCCCATTTCTTCCTGGTCGCTGTTTTCCTAATTAAAATTTTCCAGCTGAGTTTATCTGCTCAAATGTCATGAAAGAAACCACAGATTCTCCTAACCAGAAGTTCATTTTTTTTTATAGAGGAAGTGATTTTTTTATAGAGGAAGAGAAAAAAATAGGAGTGCATTAAAAAATGTTTCCCTTCCCCCATTTTCTTCCTTCCTTTCTCAAAGGTTGCACAATGTTAGGCAAAAGTCTGCAGAAAGGATCACATGTTGAAATATAAGATCTAAAATAATACTACTTTCAGGGTGATATCATCCCATACTTTATAAGAGGTACAGACAAAAGCAAATGTGAAACTCACCATAACCAACAGAGCTCAGGAGCAAAAACAGAAGCATAAACAACATTATCTTCTTCAACACTGGATAGCTTCTGGGCCCCAAACAACAGGAGAGAGAGAACAAACTATTAATACAAGGCAAAATCAAGCATTGTAAGCAAAGCAGTTCTGCCTCATCTTGCCGATGAAAATAGAACATGTGATGTGAACTTCAATGAAATGAGATTTACACCCCAACTTCATATTATGGTATTGGCATGATGACATCATATCAAATATAAATGCTGCAGTTAATATTGGAAAGTAATCAAAATAGATAGACCTGGTTCACATATTGTACTGTGTTGTTTATTTAACCATACATATAATATACTAAGATGCAAGCCACAGATGACTAATTATAATGGCTAGGTTCATCCAACCAGCTAAGCCAATGTGTTTATGCAACTATAGTCTGCTTGTGTTTTTTTACTTAATGTGTTGGGTAGATTCAGCTATTGTAGTATGGTTTGTAAACTGCATGGAATATGGTTTAGTATTGTATGAATCCAGTCAATCATAGTTTATTGAATGGTGAAAAATATTTAGCAAAACGTGTAAGCCCAATCATCAACCACAGTAGAGTTGGGCCACTTCAAACTTTTAAGTCCCTCCCACAGCTCTTAAACATCTGCTGTTGGATTGCGCATATGATAAGCATGGTTAGATAGTTATTAAATGAAACAGGGCTGTAGCAGAAAAACATGCATACATTCTAAAATGCTGGTGAATTTGGGGATACTCCAAGCTGTGCACCTGCAGGAATTTCTTCTATTCCCCACTTTTTCAGTTACTTTTCGAGTCCACCCAGGAATCAAAGTTAGCCACATCCCTTTATATTTCTAATTCTATTCCCACTAACCGTGTTAAAATGAAGACATCCAGGAGAGAGGCTGTAGTTGTTAGACGATACCACATGGTCCCCATCCACCAGTATAACAAACCAAAGAACCGTCCTGCAAAAAAACCCAGAACAAATTTTAAAAGAGCAAAAGTTCAGCTTTCTTTTCATCTCTTCCCTTCCTCTACATTTCTATTTCTCAGAAGCTGTATTTGCACATTCAATAGCAGAAATGGTGGTTTACAAAACCCCGCAAGATATTATTAATTACACATATTGTATATATGCCCCTTGACTCCCAATGACTCGGGACAGTTTAAAAATTATTCAAAACATTAAATAAAAATTTTCCAAGTTGAATTGCATTCTTGGACAAATTAATCTCAAAGAATGAATCTGAAGAATTAGAATTTCTCCAGATACTTGGTTCTAAGCCTCTGGCTATCTCTTAATATAATTCTCTATATCCCTTCCAAATGAATATTTTCAGCATTATTTTGAAGAAGTCCATATCAGATAAATTAGTACTGAAAATGCAGCACAGAGACATAAACACAGCTATATAGCTTCCTTTGTTAACATGTGTAATAACTAATCAAATTTCTAAGAACACTTTTCCATTTACCTGGGGCTAAAAGCACCAGCCAAATAAAGGACCCTACTTTGGAGAGGACACCCTTGAACCCAAAATTGGATGTATTCTGGTCCATGGAAGAACCACCTGCAAGAAGCAGAAGATAGTTTTGTCAGCTAACAAGTCATCATTGATTTTCTTTTTCTGTCTTTCTTTCTGTCTTGTCAGCCCCAGTTTAACAATGGCCCACATCCATCTTACCCTAAGCTTAACAACAGGTAAAGGTGCTGTTAAGGTAGCGATTTCCCCCACATCCCACTTCAAAGCATTGCATGCAGTTAATAGAGGGCACAGCTGATGCATACTCCACGGTGTGTAGCAAGAATGAAGGCAAATATATGTGTCCCAGGATAGCGTTGCAGGGTCAGGGTCCAATCTGGGTCAGTCACTAGGACCAGAGATGTAGTCTTCCAAGCTTTTGGATTCATGCTGGAGCCCATCCTCAGGAAATTTCTCTCTAGCAGAAAATGTGCTTTGGTCTATTTGGTGTGTGGTATAAATCAGTGGTGGGTTTCAAAATTTTTTACTATCGGTTCTGTGGGCATGGCTTGGTGGGCGTGGCAGGGAAGGATACTGAAAAATCTCCATTCCCACTCCACTCCAGGGGAAGGTTACTGCAAAATCCCCATTTCCTCCCAATCAGCTGTGACTTGGGAGGCAGAGAATAGATGGGGGTGGGGCCAGTCTACCGGTTCTCCGAACTACTAAAAATTTCCGCTACCGGTTCTCCAGAACTGGTCAGAACCTGCTGAAACCCACCTCTGGTATAAATATAAATATATACTGCTCAAAAAATAAAGAGAACACAAGGAGAAGACATTCGAGATCTCAATGAACGAAATAGCCTTATTAAATACTTTGTTCTTTACATACAGTAGTTTATACACTGCTCAAACAACTAAAGGGAACACAAAACTACTGTATGTAATGAACAAAGTATTTAATAAGGCTATTTCATTCATTCAGATCTTGGATGTCTTCTGCTTGTGTTCCCTTTATTTTTTTGAGCAGTGTATATAGGCACCATATAAATACCACACACCGAATAGACCAAAGCACATTTTCTGCTAGAGAGAAGTTCCCTGAAGATGGGTTCCAGCATGAGTCTGAAAGCTCAGAAGACTAAATCTCTGGTTCTGGTGACTGATCCAGATTGGATCCTGTGGCAAGAATCTTGTAACCCAGGAATTGGCCAAATTGGATCCAGTAGTTTCCTCCAGTTACTTTATCCAGGGGCAAAATGTAAAATTTGTTACTACCGGTTCTGTGGCTGTGGCTTGGTGGTGGTGGTGGTAATATGACTGGGTGGGCGTGGCCAACTTTTTTTTTTTTTTTAACTTTTCAAAGCATTTTTTCTAATGCTTTGAAAAGCCTCTGCCGATCAGGCAACTCAGCTGGGATCATCAGAGAGGCTTTTTAAAAAATACTTTCTGCCGATCAGGCAACTCAGCTGGGATCGTCAGAGAGGCTTTTTAAAAAATACCTCTCTGCCAATCAGGCAACTCAGTTGGGATCGTCCAAGACTTTTCAAAGCATTTTTTTTTACCATCTCTTCGGCCAAGAGGTTACAGAAAAAAATGCTTTGAAAAGCCTCTGATGATCCCAGCTGAGCCGCGCGATCATCAGAGGCTTTTTTTTAATTTTTAAAAGCATTTTTTCGTCGGAAGAGGTTGTAGAAAAAATGTTTTTAAAAGTAAAAAAAAAAAAGCCTGTGATAATCGTGCGGCTCAGCTGGGCATTGGGGGGTGGGGGGCCCGCAGGGATTTTTGCTACCGGTTCTCTGAGCCACCCGCCGCTATCACTACCGGATCAGGTGATCCGGTCCGAACTGGGAGCATTTCACCCCTGACTTTATTTATCTAAAGCAGAAATAAAATATTAACAGCTGTACTATTTTGATGGCTGAGTTTGTCTGATTTATGAAAGCAGGTTGCAACCATAGTTGTTAATCTTTCCTCTGTATAAATTAAACTCATCATCTGCCAACTGTATGGAGATGGTAACTATTAATACTGTCTCTGCATTACCAATCTGCAGATCAATTTTGCACCAGGTGTTTTTTTAAAAAACTGAAAAATATAATAACATCCTTATTTTTTTTTAAAAAAGTAACAGACAAGCAACTTCCTCTGTGATGAGTGGAATAACAAGGACTTGTGGTGGAACCAGAAATCAGGTTTTAAGTATGCACAGCCTTGAGGGAAACTTCAATATGTGCAGTTCAAGGAGTTCATCAGGCCTTTTGTTAACTGATGGCTTACTTTAGTTTACAAAGCCAACCAGTTTTGGCTGTAAATGATGTTAACAAATTCTATCCCCAATGTTTTTCCTTTAGGAGGCCCATCTGATTGCTTCCCAATACCTGTATAGTCATCCTCAGAGGAATAACCAGATGAAGAACCATAGGTGTCATATGTCTTCCTGTCTCCTAATCCATTGATTTTCTTATTGGACTCGATGCCCCCTATACCTGTTCTTCTTCTCGGTGAAAGATCCTCACCTGACCAGATTACAAAATTTATTTTAAAAATAAACTCAATCTTTTTTTTATACATTTCCTACTAAAAGCTTGTATGAAACTAGATACCATCAACTTTAGACAAGCTCAAATGAAGCATACCACTTAGTGAAAATTGCAGGAGAGTTTAAAGATTATCTCCCTTGTGCCTTGAATATATTTTTTTTAATTCTATCCTCCCCTTCATGTCCATGTTTAATAATTGTTGTTGATGATGCAGGTGATGGATTACATCACCATCAAGATGTACAACATTTTATATTAATTGATTAGATGTTTGAGAATTCCACCAACCAGCTTCCCTTGAATAGTCTTTCTTTTGCTTCAAAGGCCACATTTTGCTGGATTTTCAGCACAAGTCCTGACCTAATTCTCCCTCAGTCATCTTTAATACTGTCTTGCATTCAAAACCCCACCGACTAATCCAGAGAAGACCATGCATGGCCTTTCAGGTATTGCTGTACTTTAACTTTCATCAGCCAGAATAATATTCCAAAATCATTTGGCTGATATCCATTGCACCAGTTGAAGAAAATGATACAATGTCAAAAATATATTGACAGCATACAAGAAATAAAGATTGAATGAACTCTCTGAAGCATTCTGTATAAATAGTGTAAGTCACAAGAAAGGACCCTGAGAGATCTTAAAGGCCAAGAGATTTACTCCAAATGTTGTCTTCCAAGAGCATCAAATTGGAAATAGGTTCAAGCCCCATGTAGACTAGATGATGCAGAAGAATATTCTAACTTGGGTATGAATTATGCTAACTACAGACCAGAGTTAATTGAAAGATTAGATAACAGGTGAAAAACAATTGGGGATTTGTACAATGACTATGCAGAGCCAATAAGAATGAAAAGCTTATGTGGTCCTACAGATGTTGCAGATGCCAATTCTCATCAGCCCCAACTGGAATTGCTAGTCCAGTTCAAAAACATCTGAAGGGCTATGAGTTCCCAATTTGTTGCTTTGCAGCTTATTTCTCCCAAGCAAGTGCCCTCCATATATTTTAGAACATGCAAGCTACAGAACATTTCAGAGAAATACTTACTCCAATAAGAACTGCTTTCCAATGGCTCATCAAAGGCCGCATTAGTTTTAAGAGAAAATCCTCTGTCATCAGTTAGATAAGACTCATTAATGACAGACTCACTGTAGTAGGAGGTAGTATGGGGAGCAGAACTGAGTCCTAGGCTAGGTGTAGGAGAGAGACGTTTCACACTGCTTGGTTTCCTTTTCAGGGTTCGACTGCAGGAGAAGAAACCAGAAATGGCATATTGATAAGTTAGATGGTTAGATGAAGAACATGAAACTGCATATGGATTTGTACATATGCAAAAATGCTGTTATTTATAAATAGCACTAGTAAACTCCTATCACTTTATAGAATCCACATCCCTAAGGATAGAATTGAATGGGAAAGAGATAAGAAGAGGGAAAAACAATCTTTTCCTAAGGATATTGCAAATTGGAACTTGATCACTCTAAATAAGTGGCAAAAATGTCTTTGGTACAAGGTTCAAATAAAGCTGGGATTTCTGGAAGTTGTCATCCCATTGCATGTGGATGAGGCTGGATTGGAAAAGGTTACAGTGATGTAACAACTGCATCTTTCTTTACCTAATGAGTTCTAACATAATTTCCTTTTAGTCTGCTTTGTATTTTGCCTTGTTTAATTACAAAGCTGTAGTATTGTCTGTCAGTTCACCTGAACTGCATATTGGGAAGGGTTGATGTTTCCGCATAGTCACATGCAACTTCATTTATGGAACAGAACAATTGTAATAGGTTGGGCAAATGAGGCCATTTCCCTGTCCACCAACACTTTATAGCAAATTTCCCAGCTGGGTCCCTCCAAATATGTTGAGACCAAAATTCCCAATAAGCATGACCAGGAGCGATGCTGATCCAATTCATCCAGAAGACACACTACTCTATATAATAGCTAGGAGCTCAAAAAATAGCCCGTGAGGTGTTTATGACACATTGAATGCAAGAGGAAACTAGAACTATCCAGAAACTTTGCTTCACAGAGAATTAAAAGAAACATGCAGATTGCTCCAGTGAACTGAAATAAGAACTTGGATTGAATAAGTTTATAACCATGGTCATGATTACTTATATGTTTATAGTACTGCATATTGCATTTATTTAATGCCCTTTCCTGTAGCCTTCATGTAACATGCTTTAATAATGATTTGAACTGTGGTAATATGTGTCTGCCAATTATTAATTTATTACACTATTAAGTCCTTGAGTGGAGGCAGAACACAAGGATATAAGTTGTTGGGCCTCCTTATTTCTGGCCGTGAATGCAGGGTTGCCTGTTAGGATAGCAACCAAAGCCTTCACTCAACTCATACACCAAAAATACTATACAGTATTTCTTTCTAGGAATGCATCTTTAATGATTTCACATTCCATAAATAGTAGTATACCTGTTTTGTGGTTATCTTGTTTCTTTATCAATTGTAAAGCCATTATTTTGTATTTGGGGCTTTCTGCTATGTAGCTCCATACTCAGTATTTGAACAACATTCTACATAAGATTTATGTAATGTTGCAGCTTCTGCTCTTTGCAATGACTCATTGTAACCTGCTAGCTTTGGAATTAATAAAACAATCCTTTGGATGCTCTCCAAACATTGGCACTTTTGGGGTGAATTTTCTACCACACTCCAAGGAAAGAATAAAATAGCACAAGCAGCTTTTTCTGAGTATAACATTTTTCTTTAAAGTTCATGGGTATGGAGGAAGTGGGAGAAATACAGACAGATGGTAACATCCTTTTTATCCACCCACACTTCTTTAACCAAGTGGAGGCAATGCACCAACAGAGATATCCACCTGTAAGGATTGCAGCAGTGTGTAGGAAGTGATGTTATTATACTGGGCAAAGTCAAAATCTTTGATCCCTCTTCTCATTTTTTGAGGGGAGAGTGTTATATTTTTTTTAAATGATGCACTAGGTTTCCTAGAGCCCCTTTTTAACATCATTCTCCTTGAGGCCTCTCTCCCAAAAACTGCAGCTCACAATTTTTTCAGGGCTATTCTGAAGAGTAATGGGGCTGCAAAAATGGGCTATGAAGGGTGACATGAGGTTCACAGATGGCTTATTTTTTAGTTTCTCCTACGAAGCAATTACAATTCCCAACTGATTGGGGGGGGGAGTCTTTCCCCACCATATATCATTATGGCTACTTGTAAGAAAAGCAAGTATTTGTGCATTTTTGTACTAAAACTAGCTCTCTGAGACAAAGAATTATGCATCCAAATTTGGCTTCTCCCTATGTCACCAACTCTCTTCTGTGCCTCTATCTACAGCTCCATTTATACAACTGAACATGTATTTATGGTTTTCCTTTGTCATTAGTTGTTCCCAGCAAGAACATTCAAGATTATGATAAAGAAATTGCCTGCACCCTCTACAGATAACATAACATTTTCATGAGAAAATATTTATTTTTCTCCATTTACAATTCCCATTGCTATTTCAAATGGAACATAGTGGCATGAACATCGGCAATACTGTATAATAATCATTTCTTATGATATTAGCAATGATGACTAATTTAATTCCCCTGCTGTAGCACTTACAATGTTTATCTATTTATTTTTCCTTTCTCTTTTTAAAGAATCAAAGTATCTAATGGGAATGGGAGCTTTCCAGGTGCTCTAATGTAGCCTTCCCTATTCTGGTTACTAGAGGAGTGCTGAGCTACAACTCCCACAATTTCAGTCAGACAACTAGATAGAATTATATGGAAATTAAGGAATGGTAATCCAACCACATCGGAAAAAACTGATTTAAAAAAACAAACTTGCTGATTAAAACCAATTACACACCGGCTATTTGTGTATTACAGCTACTGTACTGAAATGGGCTATGAAGTTCCAGATGTAAAAAAAATATATCTTGAAAACTCTTAAAATACCCATTATTTGTAAATGTAAAAGGGATAAAGCAAATTAAGAAGTTGTTTAGTGCAATCTTTAATGATGCACTTTGTTCTATTTAGAGCCAGTTTCGTCCTTGCTGCTACTTCACAATCTGATCATACCAGCTACTATTAACACAAGACAAATCTTCAATATACAGGAAAATCTCTTTATAAAAAGTGAGACAGAATTGTATATAAACAAAAACCAAAGCCTGTTAAAATTAAAGTTTGTGAATTCAATCTGAGCTTAGTTGAGTTCTATTAAAAAATAAAGACAACTATGAATATACTACAGTTCAAAATACCTCATCCTATTTCTACTTCATGCCACAGACCCTTCTCTATTCTACTGCCTTTTAAATATTTTGAATTATAATTCTAATAATCATGGGAATAGAATCTGACATTGATAATGGATAATAAGTTGGGAATGACTGGGGTAAACGATCAGATTCAACCTGAAAGTAAGGAAAACAGCAATAATGAACTAATTTTACCATTCAAAAGACGTAGAAACCCTATAACTCATACATAGCATACGTGGGGATGTCTCCCTCTTCCTTCCTTCCAACTTACCTGCTTGGATTCTCTATAAACAGGGGCTGAGGCCCACTTAGCAGAGAACTTCGTCCACTGATCTTACTGTTGCCAGTATCCTCACTTTGATAACTCCGAAAAGTCCCACCAATGCGTTGGCTTCGTCGAGACATGACCAAATAAAAGCCGCCTCCACACTTGTGTCAAGGTTCTTAAGAGGAAGCAGCACAAAAAAGAAAACATCAGGACTTACATCAGATATAAGTATTATGAAGATACTTTATGATTGAACAGTTTTACTGAATCCCGAAGAAAAGTTCACAAACGTTAGCATTTTTTCTCCTATTGACCAAGCCAATTCCTCTATTACTGCTACCTAAATGAAATAGGTACTGGAATCTTGCTGTTGCTCATATTCCACTTTCCTGATCTTCAGAATCCTTTGCAAAACTCACTTCCAAGAATCCCAGTTAACGTGTTCCATAGTGTACCATTGTTCTAATGTATACTGCTCTTAGCCAGGGAAGTTCTCTTTATCTGAAGTAAATAATCTATATACTACTAAAACTCTCACTGTCATGGCATTTATCTAGACAAATTGGTGGATTATAGGGCAACAATTTTTGAGCCAAGTTACTGAAATAGCCTAACTTTACAGAAAGTGTCCAAATCCTTGACCTATGTGTCTTGAGTTGATGAAATATGGAAAACTATGGCTGATCCAGTGCTGCTGGCTGCTGTTGAGCTATGGTCATATGACTTTCATTTTCAACATTCTGTGAGTTTCCCAGCCAGTCTTGCAATCCCTCATTCCTTTCCCCACCCAGCAGCAGCCATTTACCTGTGGAAAGGAAAGGGAAAATACATCCTTCCTGGCACATGTCACTGTCCTGTGGGCTCAACCTGTGCCACCCCCCCCCCAATGTCTTCTTCAAATGCACCAGCCCGTGTGTTCCCAGATCCATGCAGCATCTCTTGGGCACCTCAGAGCTTCCACTCCCACTGCTTTTTGCCCACCTGTAGTCATTCTGTTTCTCTGTCTAGGTAAGGAAATCCCTCTGAAACAATGACCCAGCAGGGCATGGATTGTCTAGTAGTTACTAAGTCTAAGTTACTAAATACCACTTCAGACTATACAAATCATTTGAAAGAAATAATTTGAAAGAAATCCTTTAAAAAATGTGATAGAGCCAATGAAGTAACTCTTTTTGAAATATCAAAGCAGGCACATCTTTGTAAGACCTGAGTGACTACTTAAAACGTTGTCTCAGTCATCTGCATATGCTAAGATCCTGATAGATGTAGACAAATACATTTGGTAAATAAACAACAGTAACAACAGAAACAAAAATAATGTCAAACTACTTCAGTATTGTCGCTAACAAACCAGCATGACTGTATTTGTGTACATTTATCAGGATCTCAGCTTGATTTGAGGATTTATTTTTCTTCATTTCTTTTTGCTATCAAAAGGCACTGGGGACCAATGCTCTTGCATTGAACTACATTGCAGGGTCACATTCCAACTGCCACTGGCATGTGAGCTCAATTTCTGGCCCGCTGACAGATTCATGAGATACTCCCATCAGTGCATCATGAACCAAATGCATCTTGGCTGGAAACAGTAGAGCTTTTGGGCAAGGCAAAATAGAGTTCATATTCCAGCCAAGACAAGGCCGATCTGGAACTGCGTCAAGTCCCACCCCCAGCAGCAACAGCAACAACTATATTTATACAGCATCAGTCACCCTGCAGATTTGCCTGCTGAGATGGGAAAAAAACCAAATAGCAAAATCAAGATCTGACCTTGTGCCTATCCTTCACTTAACTCAGTTAAGAAAAACCTCCCTCCCTGCTCATTGCCACAAGCAAATCAAGTCAGAAGTCTGCTCGCTAGCAATTGTTTATCAACATTTACATCATTAATCTTCTAATTATATTTCTATCATGCCTCAGCCTGTATTTCTACTCTTACACCACAACTGTTCTCCTGGGAAATGTTTCCAATGTTCAGCAAGTCAAATGACATGCATGTACAAGAGGGTTTCCCTTGCTTAGTCATAAGCTATGCTGCTGCCATTCTCCACACCCGCTCCTGTTCTTCGTTATTCCCAACACGCTACCTGGATTGGAAAACTCCAGACCAGTTTCTCACGACATCTTGGAGATGTGTGGATTTGAACTGGGAAATTCTGGGAGTTAAAAATCCACATGTCTTCAAGTTGCTAAGGTGAGAAACATTGCTCTGGACCATCACTATATCAAAGCAAAAGGCTCTTGCATTATCCCTCTCTGCTACACTAGTTGTGGTCAGGATTTTATAGCCCAAATTTAGTAGCTAGTTGCTAGTAGCTGTAATTGTTGTTATAGCACATATTCCTTCTCATAATTTTATCCCCACCTGCACACACAAATATGTAGGAAGCAAAGAACAAAATCAAAGAAAATTTGTACCAAATTCCCAAGAGTAAAAGAAAATACAAATGCCTCCTTTCATCTCAATTAGGCAGCTCAGCTCAAATCAAGTCTGTTACCCCCGGAGACAAGCTGGCCTCCTTTCCTTCACATCTTTCAGATCTGTTCTTCTCCCCATCTCCCCTTAACTTTTATGCTTCAATCTCTGAGAAAGAAAATCACTGAGACCCTATGGAGCAAAAATTGCCCTATTGCAGGGTCAATTTGCTAAAATAGAGCATTTTAAAGAAGACAAATTAGAGAGAAAGTGTAGTATAGTCTACAGAAATTCAGATTGCATTTTGATTCTGTCTTGTATTCATTCACAAGGTGGTGTTCAAGCTGCTCCCACTTTCAAATTTGAAACGCCTCCCCTCATATGGGAATAACAGTTGTCATCTCTTTTAGTCCTTGAGCTGCACCATGTGCATTTTTTGTTCTAAAGAAAACAGGTTATGTGGTTCAGGAATGCTGAGTTAAAATTGCAGAAATCAGCATATAATCAAATGCGAATATTTTTCACTAGACTACATCAGAGGGCTCACTTGAGAGGTGAAAATCAGTGGGGCAAAAGTGATACACAATATGTCACCACTAATCTCCTGGGAGTTTCAGGAATCCCACATTTACTTTCAGTGGCTTAAAACAATTCACAAAATTATTTTCCTGAAAACAAAGTAATTCTTTCCCTCACAACAATAATCCCGCAAAATAGGTTAGACTGACTCGTAAATGAGCCAAGATCACATAAGAGCAATTGGAATCTAGGTCTCTCCAGGGTAGGATTTCCAAATTAGGAGGCGTGATTTCCCCTCCTTCTCTTTATAAATTAAACATGCCTAGAACTGTTAATTTAACCCCATCGTCCCTCGCTACTTCAAACCTTCATCTTTAACCGCCACTTCTCAATGTATCAATATTGAGGCGGCCGCAAAACTGTCAAACCGTTTCCGTTGTTTCCGTTACAGCAGCTCGAGCCTTCGGCCGCTTCTCCTCCATCCACGCGGCTGCCTCGCACTTTTCAACAGCAACCACGGTCGTGGCACAACTTGCAAATCCACGCACGGAAACTTAGATCAGGACAAACCTCCGGTGCGCTCGTGTCTGCCCACTCCTCCGCCCACCCGCCCACCGCCCTCCTTTCCCCGCTCGCTCCTCTTGATCTCCGACGAAAACTTCCAAGGTGCATCTTCCTCTCCGCTCTTTTAAGGACGGCAACAAACAAACGCAGCGCCCGCTTGCCGGAAGGAAGCGAAAGCAGCGGAGCCTGGCTTTTGAAAAAAAATAAAATAAGCAGCCGCGTTTCCAAAAAGGTAGAAGAAAGGCAGCCGCAATCTTCGAAGACGCCACAAGAAAAGCGAGCGGTAGGGAAGACGGAGCGCAACAAAACGTGGGGCAAGCTCCATCATCCCCAGCCAAAATGAAAATCCCTGGCAAATAGGACCTGTAATCCCTACCCACAATCTGGAAGGGGACCGGATTGGAAATGGCTCACACCGCCTGGGATGTTTTGAAAGTGGGAGACAGCTCGGGCACCGCAAGAGCGGACGGGAGGCTTGGGGGAAGAAGCCACAGAGCTACAGCACAGAGAGAGGAAGGGGGGGGGAAAGCCAAGGAAGAAATACTCTCCCTTTACTCTTTTGTCTTTTTCTCTCCTTTAAGCGCACGGAGTTACCTTTCGCAACGGCTTCGGAAGAGAGGCGCACAAAAGAACTCCAAACAAAAACACGAGCAGCCCCCCACCCCCACCCCCAATTCGAAGAGGTTCGGGATTTTCTCCTCAGCAGCCGAAGTTAGCCGGGCTTTCTAAGCGATTTGATGAATCCCAGGAAATTGCCGTTGCCAGCTCGATCCGCTCGGCAGGCGCCCCGCGCGCCAACAATAGAGCCTGACGGGTGTCTCTCGCCTTCTTCTCCAGTGCCTGCGTGCGCCTGTCAAACCTCACAAGCATGAGCTTATTGGCAGGGGCTGCACCTGACCCGGGCTGTCAGTCTCCTGCGACGCCCTGTGCCTATTGGTTGGTTTGAACAAGAAGCGCCCTCAGTTGGTCGCCTTTCCTTTCTCCCTCCCCGCCCCTCCCGTTCGTTTTGTGGATTCAGTGGCCGGATTGCGCAAGAAGAAAAAGCTCCGGGGCGGGATAAACTGCAGCAGGGCTGGCTCCGCCCCCGGTTAGGCGTGGCATAGAATAGGATGGAAGGTCGGAAGGCGGGGCGTTCGTTCCCGCTTTGGGAACAGTTCCCGGGCCTCGGGTGGGGGGTGTTGTTGAGTACGCGGGGGGAGCGTCCGATAGAGGGTGTTCCTCGTTAGTTTCAAGCATTGCAGGAACGTGTTGAGATAATTGTGTGTGTGTGTGTGTGTGTGTGTGTGTGTGTGAGAGAGAGAGAGAGAGAGAGAGTGAGTGAGAGTGAGAGAGAGAGAAGGAATGAATGAGTGAATTCTCGCCCCGTACATGAGCCAGCTTAAAAGTTTTCCATACCTGAAGCGTTTTCCTTCTTGCCCACAAACATCTCGTGGTTTCCTGTCTTTTTTACTGCGGTGTGACGATGGAATGTGCCCAGTTCTTTAGGCATGCCTTCTCCCCACCGAGTACTGCCCTCCATGGCTATTTAGGCTTGGGCTGGAGTGACACTCTGAGTGACACTTATGACACTGAGTGACATTTGTGCTTAGCTTTGCTAAGAAGCAGCAGTGGGGAACCTCCCTCCTGCATCGTCTTCTGGTTTCGCCTTAACTCCTGTCACCTTTTAGCTAAGCAACATTGTGGGTAGCTAAAACTATTAGCTGTAATCATTTCGCCTAAATTCATCCCACTTAAGGAGAGATGGATTCCCCATCTGCGGTCGGTACTTTTGTGACAACAAAATTGGGAAATCAGCCAATCCCTTTCCCTTAGGGAACCCACAATAAGTATGTAAGAATAGCATCATTCAGCAGGTGTATCGCTCTGACAGAATAGGGATCATTGGTGAGACCTATTTTATGTTTAGCATATTTTATGTCAACATATTTTTTTGTAAACTTAAGAACTAATAGATAATACTTTAAAGATCCTAATGCTAAGCAGCAAAAATAGTTGCATGGAAATATAAGCTATGCAGTGAAAGCTTTAATACTAGTCTTTGAGCCTGTCATTATTTGTTATGATCTGGCAGCTTCCATCTGGATACATGATGTTTTCATCTTGTTCCCAGCACAAATTCTAAGTCATCTTAAAAATAAATGTAGATGTTTTCCTCTGAAGTTGAAAACTCTCTAATCACAGCTTCATGATATATAAAATCCATAATAGTGTATTTCCTATTATCTTGAAAGTGCATAGAGATTACATCAGAGCAGAGGCAAGAGGAACAAGCAGTGAAATGTATATCATATTGTCATGCTGCAAATGTGCTGTTTTCATCAGATGTCAGCTGTTGTAACATGCTCAGGAGCTACGTGCAGGCATGAGAGAATCATGCTGTACCGCGTATGCGAAAAACTAGATAAAGGTTGCAACAACTCATAGATAACTGTAACAATTCACTAGCAGCTAGAATTGTAGATCTTCCCAAATTTGGGCATTGCTTCCATGTATTACTTGTACTTACGTATGCATTACATGAGACATGCTGTAATATATTATTGGCTTATGCTAACAAACCCCTCCTGCCTTTGTTTGTGTACAATAAAAGAGGCTCCCGGAGTCAGATCTGGGTCGTCTCATCCCGAGAAAACTCGTGTCCGAGTCTTTCCTCAATATTGACCTCATGGGCGGCCCGCGGAAAACTCACATCTGGTGACCCCGACGTGATATCCGTGTCGCCCACCCATCTCACCCCCGGCTGGGAATAGCCTCGCATCCAGGGACGGCCGTCGGTGAACGGAGCACCCTCCCACATCGTGAGTATGGGATCGGGCTTCTCGAAGGAACAGGCAGTTCATCTCAATGAACTTCGAGATATCTGCAAATTATCTAGTGTAATTCCAGGCGGCGGGTAAGCTGCTTCCCATTCCCCTGAAAAAACATTTAATCAGTGTACTAAAATACATTTGGCAACATTATCCGGCTTATCCGGAAAAGGGCTCTTTAAAAGTGAAAGTGTGGAAGCAGATATGAACATGCTTCCACGAACCTCCCCGAGCCCTGGAAAAATTCTGGCACTCTGGAGATTGGCTATAGAGTGTTTAATGATGCATGAAAAAAAAAAAAAAAGGCCTTCAGGACACTGATAATGGTTCCTTTTTAGATTAATGTCATCAAGGAATAGAAAATATAGCTCTGATGCCTTGGAAGAGCAACAATTAATTACAAGTCCTCCACCTGATTAAAATTGTTAAAAATTGTTAAAATTGTCACCTCAAAACCATCTTTAATTGAATCATAAGTTCCTTCTGAAGGAGCTGGTAACACCCCCACTAAGCAGAATTCAAAGAAACAGTTAGACAAAAAAGGGGGGGGGGTGGAATATAGAAGAAATTCCTACCGGCTGCAACTTTGCAAGTTTCTTCTGAATGTGCTTATCAAACCTTCAGAAAAATGCCTGTTTTTGGCAAGCGTCAACAAGCCTTCTCTAACATAAGGAAAAAAGCTACAAAGAACGCCACTTCTGAATGCCGAAAAGCAATTGTTGGGCTGGGAAAAGATCTTGATTTGGCAGATATGGTTCAAGTGTGTCAGGATATAGAAACATTGTATAAAACCAATTTGTTAGCACTGCTTTATCACCAGGCAGCAAACCTCAAGAAAACAACCTAATTGGCTTTTTGAAATACAAAATGATTTATTTGTAAATGAATTGCACATTGCCCCAGAAAAAATACAGCTGTACACTCCTTATCTGTATGTGCAATTTCTTTCTGTTCTGGCTTTCCCTTGTTTAAAGTTACCAAAAGTTATTTCCTTAGTAAATTTGCAACAATTACTGGGTACTATTAATTGGGTCCGCTCATATTTCTCTTTACCTATGCATTTACTTAGCCCATTATTTGAGTTATTGACTAAAGGAAAAAAGCCAGGAGATTTAATTATAGTTCCATCTCTAGTTGTTTGCTACAGTGGAGAAAATAAATAACATCTTGAGTATTCAGTTTGTAGATTGGATCCCTCATAGAAATTGTCAGTTTGTTAATATTTCCTACTAGTAAGCTACCCACAGGAGTATTGGCTGCTTTAGAACAGCAAAAAGTATATTGTCTTGAATGGCTTTATTTGTCTCATTACCATCTAAAAATGTTTTACCCTTTATCCGAGCTATTGCTGAAATTATAACCTTGGGGCGTACTCCAGACTGTCGAAGAAATGGAACTGATTTAATAAATATTGTTCTTTCTATCTCAAAATCTGACTTTCACTTATGCAGCTATCTCAGCTCTCCACACTTTTTCTTAACAACCTTTTAATCTGATCTATGACTCTCAGTATTTGAACTAATCAACTTGAAGTGATTTCTGTTAAAAATATTTTGTTGATGTGCATCTATAATGATAGTGTGTGGAATAGTATGTGGTTGAAATAATTTTAATTATGATATGCTTGGCTGGCCAGCAAAAATTGACTGGGCTTGAATTGAAACTGTGGAAAACCGGACAGTGGTTATGGGCCCATGTCACCTTTTGTGATTATGACTCCTGCCTATGTTTTTTCACTGTTTTGGGAATAAACTAGTTCATTGAAATAATTTGAATGACTGATTCACATGAAGGATGTATTATACAAAAGGTCTGATTGCAGTACAGATGTGAATGGGTGTGTATGTAGACATTTATTGGATTGCATGAAATGTAATTTTGTGTATAAGCATTTTTTTTTTCTTTCTCTTCCTGTCCTCCCAGGAGGAGGGAGGCTTGTCCGTTTTAAAAAGTTTTTTCCTTTCTCTCACCCCCTCCTTTTTTCCCTGGGAGGTGAGAGGCACAAAAAGGGGGGCTACGGTTTTTGTTCTCTTCACCATTTTTTTCTCTCAGAGAACCAGCCTGAGAAAGGCGGGGTAAAGGGTGATATCTGATACCTGCCTTTGCAGTTTCAGAGTATTGACTCAAAATACCTCATTTAGATTGTTTGTTTTATTTTTGAAGCTGTCTTTCTTACTCCTTAATGTTTTTATGTCTGCGTGCATTCTGCATACTTAACAGATGGCATGTTTGTTTGTTTGTTTGTTTGTTTGTTTTTGTTGTTTGTTGTTTGTTATAAATTGCTGCCATTTTAGGAATTGTCACAGAGATAAGTTAGAGATTACAATATGTAGACAGAGAGATAAAATACTTAAGACATTTAATTAATGAAAGAAGATAACACCTGAAGAGTTGAGGAAATGTTTAGGATTGACTGGATATTGTGGGCTGTGAATAGATAATTGTGCTATTTTGAATGAAGACTGGTATGCAAAGAACCCAGTGTTACAGGGAATGTAAGGGAATGGCTTTGAGGGTTTTAACCCAGAAGTGGGGAGGGAAGAGAGAGTTAGTGAAGGAAAACAGAAAGTTGACTTTTGGAAGTATCAGATATTGGTGCTGAGAAGGGGTTGAATTGTTTATAGATGGGAAGAGAAAGTTGGTTTGCACAGACTTGGGCTGGCTTGGAAGTCAGAATGGCAGTGGAGAAAGGACTTGAATGTTTAGTGTCATAAGGAGATTTGTTTATTGGAAGGTTATAGATATTGTGGGTGGCGGAGACAGAGATTTCCATCAAAATAAAAAAGCATTAGCGAAGCAATTTGGTCTCAAGGCAGCCGAAGCGACTGCCATCATACAACAATGTCCTACCTGTAGTCAACAAGCTCATTCTATCCCTATGGGTGTAAACCCTAAAGGATGGCATTCCCAAAAAGGGGAGAAGCAACCAAACATGTAATAAATCATTGTATTCGGACTTCTGCATCGATGGGACGCTCAATTGAACTTAAAACTGACAATGGACCTGCGTACACCAGTACTGCCTTTGCAGACTTTTGTAACAAGTGGTCCATCACACATAAATTTGGCTTATAAATTGAAAGAGGAAAAATGCCTCGGCCTCCCAGCCATGCAAAACAAACTCAATCTTTGCTTATATACTTTGAACTTTCTTAACCTGACTGGACAGCCTCCCACATCGGCTGCGACCCGTCATTTTTCTGCTTCTCCATCAGCTACCCTAAAACCGAAGGTCTATTTCTGCCAACCACCTGATCCTGCCTGGAAAGGGCCCGCTGACCTTATTACCTGGGGCCGTGGATACGCTGCTGTCCAGTACAAAGATCGCATCATTTGGATCCCCAGAAGACACGTAAAACTATTTCATTTACAACAAAAAGAAGGAGAAACCTCTCGTGCTGAGATTTAAGAAGAAAACACCTTGCTGAGTCCTACCGGCAACAGACTCTCAACGTACGGTGGTGATCAGTTGGTCCCCTGAGCACAGCGGAAGATTCATCAGGAGGAAACTACCTTCACATTGTACATATACATTTTATTAGCCTTACTATAGCACTTTCTTACACATACTAATGTTAGTAGAAGTTTAGGAGTGAGTTTTGTGGGTAATTGTTTTTCTAATTTTGCTAGTAATTTTGTTTCACACGTATAAGTGACTATGATTTGTTTATGGCCTTGGACATTGTTAGCTTTGGGACTCTCAAGTGACCATGTAAGGAACATCAAATCCCCACATACATACACTTCAAGTCAAGTACGCTCCACCAAAAACGCATTGTCTATGCACAAGCTCCTTACTTTTTACCTAAGTCTACTCCAACACCTAAGGTTCCCATATTGACATTTCCAGCTGAGGGGGGAGTGAATAAGGACAATGGGCCTCTGCAACAATTGCATAGAGGAGACTAAATATCACGGATTCTGGAATTAAGTCACGATCTTGCATTTATTCCCCCTACATCTCATGATCCTTCATGTCAGCAGCCTCTACATTCAATCATGATGGGACAGTAATAAAAGACATTCAAATAGCTGCTAATCGGACAAACTCCACTACTCGTATTTCTCAAACCACACCCACCACTGACACTGGGTGGCTCATTAAAAACTCAGATATCCAGAGGCATCTTGCCCAATCTCGGGTGGCAATGAACTATCGGGATCTTCATTTACTAACTAACTGGACAGTACATATGTTCAACGAGACTATCAAGGTGCTGAAGCTGATGAACAAAGAACTGGCTGAAATCAGGGAGGTGGTCTTACAAAACCGATATGCCTTAGCTAAAGGAGGCATTTGTGCCCTCATATACTCACATTGTTGTACCTATGTATCTGATTATCAGTATAACATCACTCACACCATAGAACATATGGAAAACTTGATCAAAAAACAATCCCTTATCATCCAATGGATCTGGCGCCATTGACATCTGGGCTGCTCTTTGGTCATGGCTCCCGGATGGTTCTTGGTTGAAATGAATTATGCCAATTATTGTATCTATAATTGTACTGCTTGTTTTGTTTTGTTGCTGTATCCTATGTCTCCCCTCCCTTCTGCAAATGTGCAAAGGTTTTATTCCCTCCAATACGAAGGACGTCCTGATAACTGAAACCAAAGCCCTTCTGGAACTGGAGGAACAAATCAGGTGTGGTCAGAGAAGGTGCTCGGGACTTACAGGATAGGGCTTCCAGAATAACTCAGAGGTTACAAACTCCTGACATGTGGTTTTCTTGGGTGCCTGGATCCGGATGGATTTACAATTTGTGCGAGCGATTTGTGGAAATGTATAACTGGAATACAACTCAGAAACTTGATGGCCTACCTCGCTTGACATCTCCTGGCCACTTTTCCACTAACTTTGTTCACCGTAATAAAAGGATGGGTGAGCTACAAACATTTGCAGAAACCGGACGGCTGAAGAACATATTGTCTACTGTACTCATGATCATTGCTTTGCTTATTTCTGTATGTTGTAGTATCCAATGTATTCCTGCTTTGTTTGCTATGATGACAAACATATTTGCCAAACATAAAGAGAACATCATAATAACAACACAGCTGAACCCTGTTGCAAAAAATTAAAACAAAAAGTAGGAGATGTTGTAACATGCTCAGGAGCTACGTGCAGGCATGAGAGAATCATGCTGTACCGTGTATGCGAAAAACTAGATAAAGGTTGCAACAACTCATAGATAACTGTAACAATTCACTAGCAGCTAGAATTGTAGATCTTCCCAAATTTGGGCATTGCTTCCATGTATTACTTGTACTTACGTATGCATTACATGAGACATGCTGTAATATATTATTGGCTTATGCTAACAAACCCCTCCTGCCTTTGTTTGTGTACAATAAAAGAGGCTCCCGGAGTCAGATCTGGGTCGTCTCATCCCGAGAAAACTCGTGTCCGAGTCTTTCCTCAATATTGACCTCATGGGCGGCCCGCGGAAAACTCACAGTCAGCACAAGTAGCAAGGGTGGGATTTGGGTCATAAAGTCATTGCTGCCGTTTCTGGACATTGCTAGTTGGGTACGTTCTGGATGGATTGAGCATGTTCTCTCCCATCTAATCACTAGTCAGCCTTCACTGCACTTTCTCTTTTTTGTAGTTTGCTTTCTCCGTTTACATTTTGTTTTCTGAGTTATAACCTTCTTCCCTATTCATCTTCTCCAGATTTTCAACAAAGTAGGGGAGAAAAAAGCAGACCTCCCTTATTTTATTGGAGCCAGAAGAAGAGCATCAGTACAATTCCATATTATCAGAAAAAGTGTCAGTGGGTCTGTTTATCTTAGATGCAGGTGACCCCACAATAACAGAGGTTGAAAGGGACTTCTATCTTGTGTTTTCCAATTTCTTGTATTTATTAGTTTCAGTTACTGTTTGATACCTTTTATGAAATAAGGGAGGTGATTGTCCAGCAGCTACTCAGTTTCAGCTCTGCTCTTTGTTGCCCAATTACAACAGGCTCTACTTCCTTCTCCTTGGCCCTAAGTGGTGACTGCCAAGATTCTAAGAAGAGAGATTAACTCTGGGTGGATTACAAGAAGTTATAATTTACAACTAATGCTTGTAACAACTCCATGTTCACACGTTAAAACGGGCTCAATGTGTCCAGATTAAAAAGGGTAAAGCATATGCTAGCAAGCATATGCTACCAAGTTAACTCAGTAAAAATTACAAATCAGCTAGGTGGTTCATTAATCCCACTTTGGTTAATCTCAAGAAACTAAACAGGTTTTGACTTGGTAGAAATTGGATGGGAGACTAGCAGGCAATCTATACCTGTTGATTAGGCATATAATCTCTGTGCTTTTCTACCGATACTCACACACTATTTCAAGTTTATAAAACCTGCTTTTTCATTTCAGTTTTCCCTCTAAAAAGTATATGAGCTTTAGTGCAAAGTCTGAGCTAATGAATCAAATTAAGTATTCCTTGTAAAGGTGACAGAGAGAAAAACTGTCATTATGATCATAATCCTTACCAATTTATAAATGTATAATAGTTAAAACATGTCTAATACAACCAGGATTTAGTTAGGTGACTGTGCATCCTGGACTTCTTGGTCTTATCATTTTCACAGGGAAAACTTAAACTACAGTATCAAGGACCAAGTTTTATAATTCCTTAGAAATTATAATTTCTTATGGTATTGGTTATGGTATACATTTTTATGGAATGAAATTCTTTGCATCTGACGACTTTAGTCTGTGAAATGTTTTTCTACAACAAACAAGTTAGTTTGTTAAGGTCTTTAATTCTTAATTGCATAAGACTAACAGCTATATCCATACCAATGTATTTGTGCACAATAAATATACATCAAATCAGAGATTTGTCCATTTTTGGCTTTTTCCAGATATGCTACCAATTGGCCTCAATAGGCCAAAATTTTAAAGTGAAAATTTCCTGTTGCATCACACCTATGTAGCTAATGTAGAAATTAAACACATATTTATACCATGTTCTGGGTATTTATTTTAATCTTACACTCTTATTTAACAGGATCTAGAAAATCTGTTGCTGTAAAAGACTTGGAAAAGGTATGTATGAACATTGAGGCACAATTAATAAACATGATGCAATCTTTTCAGAGTTAACACAGTACCCTGAATAAACCATGGCACATTTGCTTGTCATTTTCAGCAGAAAATATACCTTGGCTACTTTCCCCTCTAAAGACCTAAAATATCATTAAAACAATTTGTTATTCATTCATGTGTTATATTCTTGGAGAAATAAGAACACTCATACCTGAAGTTCCCAATAAATTTGTAATGCAGTAATTGACCAGTAGCTACAATAGCATTTCTTCAATTGCTTTAAAAAAAATTTCATCCAAAAGGCCATAAAACTAATTCATGGGCAATCATGTTAAATCATTGGTGTAACTATGTATGCATGTTTTCCTTTGAATCCACCTACCCAAGGACAGGAGTAAGCAACCTGTATCTATCAAGATGCTTTTGAACAGCAATCTTTCTCATTGGCTGGTGCTTCTGGATGTTGCTAGCAGGTGTTGTACAAGAATATCTGGAGAACCACAGGTTACCAGGAGCCTTGCCTGAGTCTACACATTCCCCTCTATGGGTAGACTTCACACATCATTTCCTCTTTATATACGAAAGATCTAAAATTTTATTCTTGGCATCACCAAGAAGGACTTGGGGAAAAAATTGTCTAAAATGCCAGTGAGCTACTGCTGGTCAAGATCAATAATATGGGCTGGATGGCTCACTATCGACTGGTTATGTTCCTGTAAAACACTATATACTGTACAGAATGCATATATTTCCATTTAGTTGGTTATTACCTGAAGCAGAATGTTGCATATTACATTGAACTAATTATTCAGATAACCATTGATATGCTTTCAGGCAGACGATTCCAGGTTGACATCTCGCCCTTTCTAAAAGGACCATAACAATAGGAAAACTTGGTGCCTGAGGCCTTAGTAGGTAATATTACCTAGCAGTTGTCAGAGGCAGATAACTTTTTTTTCCTATCAAGAGCTGCAGAGGCAACTTCTGGGCAACTTCAAGGAACTGGTGACACGAGACACTGTGAACTCTCCCTAGCCTCCAGTCCCTTTTTACTCCCGATACTCTTTTCTTTCTCAAGAGGCAGTCTGGAGGAATTGACTGGAAGTTGGCACCATAGTCTGAATTGATTTCTTGCTGTACATGACTGTTAAGGCCTTACTTAAATGAACAAATAGTCTGATCTGGCAGTGGACAAAGTTCCCAGTTCCATACTGGAATTCAATAAACTATAGATGCCCTCCCCCCACCCCCTCCAATAAATAGCAATGGTAGATCTGAAATAATTTCTTCATGAGTAAACAGAAATAGCAGGTTGGGGTTATTATGTGTCTACTGTGGGTAAGATCACTTCTCTAGCTACTCTGAACTAAAAATACGGCTTTCCTTTTAAGTCATCAATTATTACTTCTTCATGTCCATCTGCCTTCCTGCAGTTTTCCACCATAGCCAATATCTTTTTGAGTCGTCGATCCAGTGCTTCCAGATGAGGCTCTGATAAGACTGGAGACAGGGGATCTGAGGCTAATGATTCACGCATGACATCACTCAAGCGAAAAGGCTCAGTAGCAAGCAGTTGCAGTCGCAGGAAGGTTGACTTTTTAATACTGGGAGACAGTAACAACAAGGAAAAGAGAATATATATAGAAGAGAGAAAATATCATATTTAGTATTTCTATCAATGCAATTGAATTAAAATAAATGCATATGGACTTGAAAGACCAATATGAATCAGGACAGTCATGAGAAGTCTTAGAACTGTCAAGGTGAGAAATGCTCATAATTATGGAATCCAGTAACCAAGGGTGTCAAACTGGCAGCCGTGGGCCGGATGCGTGACATGCAGGCCACACCCACCCTAGCTCTGCGAAGGGGGGAAATGTCATGATACGTCACATGACAGCAACGTGACTCCGCAAGTTTGACACCCATGCAGTAAATGTAATTAAGATTGAAAAATAATATTGTCCTATGGGTATTTGGGAAAAATCCATTCCTTATTGTGATTCAACTGAATCAACTTTAATTTGGTGCTGTTTACAAAATGTTCCCTGGTTCAGATTTCAAACAAATGCATCCATGAAGTAGTTTGGTAGGCATTTTTCTACCCAGAGCATGTGCATTTTAACAGATTTCTGCCAGAAACATGGTTACATGCTCCTTTGCATTTCGAGTTACCCTACATCCAAATGTGTCAATTGGAACCTGCCATCAGTCTCAGATAATTCATACTTCAGAATTGGAAAGGGAGCTGGTTCATGGAACTACTGAACTGGGTGAAAATTGACCTTCAAAATTAACCTAAACACAGTCACATTAAACCACCTTGCCTAACTTGGAGCTCTTTAGATATATTAATCTTCAGCTTTTATAAGAGGAAATTCAGTCAGAAGTAAATACACAAATATCATATCCTCCATACTATTGGGTGTTCCAAACTCAGATAATTTTCTTCTTTACCCTATGTTTTGAGATTAGTTAGATTTAATATTTTCTACCCTGTTTCCCCAAAAATAAGACCTCCCTGGATGATAAGCCCAATTGGGCTTTTGAACGCGTGCACTAAAATAAGCCCTCCCCGAAAATAAGCCCTTCCTGAAAATATTTAAGCACATTTGCAGCCGGTCCCCACCATTTCCTCGGGTTAGGGTTAGGTAGACAGAGGTGTAAATCAAGTAAGATGGCAAGAGGAGCTTTGTTTTGCTCCACGCGGCCCAAAATAATAAAACCTCCCCCGAAAATAAGGCCAAGCGCTTATTTCCGGGTTCAAAAAATATAAGACAGGGTCTTATTTTGGGGGAAACATGGTAAATAAGATGGCCATGTTGAGCGAAAATTATGGAAGCCCAATATCTCTTGAGGACATTCTCTTTGAGAAAGGCTGAATTAGGCCATCAGGGCCATTGTATGATAGTTAATTGGGTAAATGTAATTAATGGGCATACCTTTTGTTATGTAGACATTCAGGAAGTATCCAAGTCACTGGATATGAGATGGGTGGCAAATAAATCTCATAATTAAATAAATAAAAAAATTTGAACAGTCTCAGCAATATTGGACTAGTGATGAGAAACAGTTCAACAGAAATCACTCTTGCTCCCATGTATGATATCCTACTCTCCTGAACAAACTAAACAATGGAGGATTTGGATGTGTGATGTCCTCATACTAAAAAAACAGCACTTTTGAGAGAGCACCTTGACAATTTCATTTACAAGCAACATTAGTTTTTCATTGCAGAAATCTGGAACTTCCTTAAAACATCCTAAATTGTATTACCCTAGCAAATGCAAATTTTAAGAGGTAAAAAATTATCCTTACATGCAGCATTGACGAAGGGGAGTCAGAATAGACATTTC